ACGGAAGACGGATATCTTGCGCGGCACCCGTCGGCCACGCGAGCCGCGTTACCTGCAGCAGTGGCCGCACCTGTGCCTGCCGTATGCTACGTCGAGCCGCTTCATGTAGCCGCTAGACGTTGCTCCAAACACATCCCAAGGAATGTGCCAGAAATAATAGAGCCAAAAATTCAAACACACCGCGAAGACACCGCCGGAACCATTGAGAAAGCATTGCCGGAAGTGCCGTACCGGAAGTCAAGTGGGTTAGGCCGTTCGGCGCGAGCCGGTTTGTTTACAGACACCGAAACCGTCTATACTTTCCTTGGCATTATTGTCTGTTATATTTCAATAATTTATTGTCAAAACACGGAAAAACAAGCCCTTAAGTATACACTTCTTTGCCTTATTCATTAACGAGAATCTCGTACTGGCAGACTTAGTGCCTTAGGTTGTATACGAGGGACTATTGGTCAGCTGCCAGATCGTCATAAGTTCACGTGTTACGTGACGCCACACAGGCTCATAAAAGAGTGTGCCACATTTGCCGCCATGGCTACAGATGGCGCTGACTGACATTCCCACGTTTAAATTCACATATATACCCATCAAAGTGGCTGGGAGGATAGCCGCCGTGATAGCTCAGTGGTAGAACATCGAACGCGTTATTCGAAAATCACAGGTTCGGTTCCTGCCCACGGCAAGTTATCTTTTCACCCACTTTTCTTTCTTCACGTTTACCTTACAATTCGGTCTAATATACGTATCCTATGCTTTCCTTGGCATTATTGTCTGTTACATTTCATTAATATTGTGTCCAAACACGGGAAAACGAGCCCTTAAGTATACACTTCTTTCCCTTATATATAGATACGTATACATATATGGTGAATGACGGCGGTCACCGACGCCGGCAGCAAAATACAGCCGAGAGTGTCCATATGATTGCTATCCCAATAAAAGCACTGCAAGGCCCCGGAGCACAATTAAGACTGATGCTGCATGAATCACCAATTTCTGAAGACATATTACAATGGCGTGCGACGCATGTCGCAAATGCGCGACTCGTAAGACCCACTTATCAGCATTTCGGACTTCGTAGCGAAGATCACCGCGAGACTTGCGGTCGAGCATCGCGTACTTCAAAACGTCAGGAAATGCGGCCATGCACAGCGCGACTGCTCGGAGTCGTGGCTAAGCCTAACTCCGCTCACGGTGCTGATCAGCGTACGAGATCTACGAATCCGAACATCGTGCTATCAGACATGCGAAAGCGAAGACCCCGCAGTGTGCTTCATCTGAAGCAGGTAATTGCATCACCCAATGGCTTCTCGGAACCGCAGTTGCCCGTTTCACGCAAGCTCGTCGCGCAGCGATCGCTCGGAACGCCGGTGGAAGCGGCTAGCAGTTTCTCATGTCGGCGCTCCCAAACGCACGATTAAGATGCTGCACGCCAATTTTGTTTTCATTTATCAACCGTTTTTACGGAAATTTCCTGTGCCAATCGAATCGAATAGCGAACACTATTCGAAATATATTCTAAAGTTCGAATACTCGCACGCGACTAATTCTTTCTTCTTAAGGAAGCTGTAGGTCTCAATCCTTCGACATTGAAGCATTTGACTACATCGGTGTGACGAGCTCAAAATGCTTGCAATTGCAGAGTTGGTGTGATTTTGTTCAACACGCTACCAATGAGTGTAGCCACATCAGTTTTATCAGATGAAGAAAAACCTACCAGAATGTGACGCTTTACAGAGCAAGTCAAGCAGGAGAAACTGATTGTTTCTAGTGCAGCCGATTGCTATCTCCAGTGAATAGAAGGACGGAAAAATGCAGACGGGGATAGCAGAAGATTAGGTGGGAATAGAGTTAATGTATACTGACACGGGATCGTGACGTGGCCGAAAGCAGGAGACTGGATGTCCATGTCAAACTGTTTTATTTGGACGAAGCTGAGCCCGGTAAAAGGAAAGTTGGATTACAGTATAGCAGGCTTGCACTGATAGCGGCGAACGGAGCGTCGGCCGTCGATCAACTGGCAAGCGGTGAAGCTCGTCGGCATTTTACACGTGTGGTCGAATATTCTAGCGTTATCGCTAGTGGCCAAGTAGGTTCCAGAATAATCTGTAATGTTCGCGAAGTGGGCGTGATCCTAACGAAATGATCTACCACAGGCCCTGATTCTCGAACACTGCAGGCCTGATTTGCGCTAAGAATTACGTACAGTGTAACAGCGCGATAACAAAACTGAGGAAGGAACGTGGCAATATGCTCCATTGTCTTAAGGTAGCATATACAGTAACTCTATAGGTGCAACAAAACTAAAAAAAATTCCGCCATATGCACGAAGTGAATGATGATGAGTGGGCGAAGCTCCGGAGGTAAACCTGGTAAACCATGAATCCTCTGTACATTTTGCCCACTCGATTTTATTACATCGCTCCCCCTAGCGTACGTCGCCACACTAAATCGAACGATTGCCTTCAACCAATGACACGCGCCATATGTGACATCATTCCTATTTTATAAGATCTCGCGTCTTTCATCAACTACAAGTACCGCTTTCTAGTTTATAACATCTTGCATCTTTTCATCATCAGCTACAAGTACCACCATCTAGTAAACACTACAAGAACTAAACGAGAGGTGGCTACATACAGGAGAGGGTACCGCCATCTAGTGAACACTGCAAGAACTAAACTAGAGGTGGCTACATACAGGGTACGGTACCGCCATCTAGTGAACACTGCAAGAACTAAACTAGAGGTGGCTACATACAGGCTACAGGGGACGCACAGCCCACGCCCTAAGGAGCTTCGCCCCTAAAAAATTGCAGGCTTAGAATGTAAGCTGCTTGCGAAAGTAAAGTCGAAGGTAATTAGAAAAGAAATATACCATCTTGCGCTAAAGGGAACCATCTGTAGGTCCGAAGCAGCGGGCGCTAACGCTTACACTGGCGACGGCGTTGACGCTGTCGCTCATCATGGCTTTACACAGGAGAGAAACCTGGGGAGGCGCAAAGCTCGCAGTGATGGACCGGTGTTTCCTACTGGAATATGTCAATTGTTGCTCATGGACAATACGAGACAGAAGACTCCGATTGCACAGCGAGACACACAGTCCGCTCTTAGTTAATGCAGTCGCTGCAAATTTTTGTTGTTCAACAATGCACAGGAGAAATCACCCACCAGCACTACCGTGGGGCCAGTGAACGGTTGTGCAGCGCGAGCAGTCAGTTTTCCCAATAGAGAAACTCGCCAGCAGACGCTGCCTACGCCGGCGTTGCGAAACACGAAAGGAGGGGATGGAAGCCGCATGCTCAAAGGGATACCTAGAAGAGAGAGAGAGAGAGGAGAGAGCGAGCAGACGCTACCTGCGTTATGTTTTGCGAGGCGAGAGAGGGGGAGCATAGGAGAGGAGGGGCGCGCATGCGCAATAGTCGTGTAAACACCGCGGGGGGAAGTATGCCTAGAGGAGAGGAGAGAGCGAACGTTGGCTAGCAGACGTTGCCTGCATGGGTGTTGCGAGGCGAGAGAGTGATGGCGACGCGCATGCGTAGTAAGGGTGGTCACGCCGCACACCGGATTGAGCTCGATCTCAAGAAGCTTCGCATCTTCAAGCCTTGAGCTTGAATTGTAGCCCTATTGAAACATTCCTTATGCATTCAAATAATTACAGCTGTTGTCACTAAGACTCCTTAGGAAACTTTATAAAACTTTCATGCAATATGCATGTACTTCGTAAAAATAGCACAAAAGTACAGAATCACTGGAATGAGATACGGAACATTATCATTGAGAAGCCTGCTCAACTAGACTCCTCGGATTTTTCACACCCACACCTCCCCTCATTCGTTAGGCTTGAAAAATCCCACTCGAATTCAGATTTGATTGATTTATTGATATGTGGGGTTTAACGTCCCAAAACCACCATATGATTATGAGAGACACTGTAGTGGAGGACTCCGGAAATTTCGACCACCTTGGGTTCTTTAACGTGCACCCAAATCTGAGCACACAAGCCTACAACATTTTCAGCTCCATTGGAAATGCAGCCGCCGCAGCCGGGATTCAATCCCGTGATCTGCAGGTCAGCAGCCGAGTACCTTAGCCACTGGACTACCGCGGCTGGGCCCACTCGAATTCAGTTTCCTTTGACTCATACCTGTTGTAGAAAGAAATATGTTCGCACGGTCCAGGCATAGTGCAAGGCCTTTGATGCTTTCTGTCGTCACTGCTGCTCAGTAGAGCTCAGGCCCATAGCCAGAATTGTTTTTTTGGAAGGGGTACTCGTTAAAGGCCCTAAAAAACACCCATTTTAAACACCCGCCTGGCTACAAGCCTGATAGAGCTATAAGTTTGTGGCGGACACTCTCAGGAAGACATTGTGGTATAAATGCTAAGCCCCATGGTTTGGACCATCTTATTCCAGCAGAGCAGGCTTCAAATAAACATACAATTGCATGAAGTGTTGAAGACACAATATTCCTGCTGACGCTAACACGACTGTTTAAGGACACATCTTTATGACAATGCTGCATCAAATAAACTCACAGTGATGTGTTCGCTAAAACTGAATAATAATAATTGTTGGAGTTTAAGGACCCAAGACCACCATATAATTATGAGACGCCGTAGCAAGGGCTTTGGAAATTTCGGCCACCTGGGGTTTTTTAACATGCACCTAAATTTAAGCACATTGCCCTCAAGCATTGTCGCCTCCATCTAAAATAGAGTCTTAAGGGCCAGGATTCAATTATGCACCCTGCAAGTCAGTAGCCGGGTGCCTTAGTCACTAGACCACCAGTATGGTTCCACTAAACCTGAATGATAACAATGTTCATACTGTTAGATTCCACTTCACACCCAAAGCCAAGCTGCATTTACTGTGTCTTTTGAATTGGTTAAGCTGAAAGGTGTTCGAATTGGTCATTAAACATCAAGCTCTCAATGATAAACCCATTGTAGCACTATGATCAACATGCCAACACAATAGCACAACAATAACAGTGCTTTGTCACTGATTGGCTACAGTAAATTCAACTTTATTGTAAAACACGTTCCTTAGCTTTTTCCAACTTCTACCGCAGCTTTGTCCTCACGTGGTATTTCTGGTGTGATGCTCGATTTTTGCCACGTGACCGAAGAGAGTGCCCTGTCGAGCAGGTGTTGATATGGAGTTTCATCGGGCGCCATAATAAAGGACCGCACTGCCTTGCAGTACCTTGGGAGCATTTTCGAACAGAGCTCCTTGTACGTAAGCCACGCAAAGTCATCTGCCTTTGTTAGCTTCTTCAAATCGCCAACAGACAAGGTGCCATTTCTGAGTTGTGCCTTGAAGAAGAATACCTGGTGGGGAGATAGAATGAAATACGCATGTCTAGCCAAGGGTCAACTCCATACTCAAGTTCTGCAACACAGGCACACCTCAGAGGTGCAAATTAAAGCTGACTTTAATGTGGATGAAAGGGCACCTTTGCTGTGAATGGGATCGGGCTCCACCGACAACAAAGGTGTTGTTCTGTGCACTTTAATTTGTTTCTTTTCACATCGTAATTACTACACGACAGTTAAAAAGTTACACCTTCTCCCATTAAAGGGAATAATAAGTAGCACGCAAAGCAGCGCATGGGTCAACATAAAGTTCCACTTATCACGGGCACCTTGCCTGATGTTAAAGCGTCCTTGCAAATGGGCATCATGAATTTTTTGTAGTTTCTGTTGCTGTTACTCGTTCCGAACTCTTGTTAGAGCACGCCACGTGGGAGCACGCAGGTTCATCGCACCTCCGAGGAATCTCGTTCCCTAATGCCATCACGTGATTGCTGAGAGAGTGTAAGGGGGAGAGGTCAAAGCCTCTTAGACAGCCATTTACCCAGGCCTGAACACACTAGTGCGGGCCAGCATGTTCTGACTAGGATACAACACATTGGTTCATCATGCGTTGACAGAATATTGCTACCCGGCGCCATTAAATCATTGCTGAGAGAATGTAAGTGGGAGAGGCCAGGGCGTCTTGCCGGGACGTGCCAGCATGTTCTAGCAGTGCTTGGGCCAGCTTCTGCACATGTGCAGTAAAAGTGGTCATGCCGCACACCGGATTGAACTCCACCATAAGCTGCCTTCTCATTTAAAAAACTACGAATAATACCGTGAACGTTATCCAAGGCTTAATTGTCTGTTGGCTTCATTAGGTTGTGACAAAAAAAAATGAGCTACCGAAACATTCCCCTTCCGTTTTTATCGCTTTTTATGAGCAGGGTAGCATGTTTTCCTTACTTGAACAACATTTACTTCAATGTAGGCACACTGGCGTCTCTTATGCCCAATTGTCTTTTTTAATATCAGTGTGCTGTTATCATGGAGTTCCAAACACTAAAACATGTTGCTTGCATGATGCACTACAATACCAAGACTTGCAGTATTATTCATAGCCTAGTTTACCTGTGGGCTTGCAGACTTCTCTAACCTGCCTTCAAGAACAAACATATAAATAATTCCATTCAGCTATAGTAGCATTACTTAGTGTGACACTATCCTTGCTAGCTGCACATTTGAGTGGCGGAAATATACGTATGCTAAATGAGCAAATAATTTGAACTGGCATCGCGCATCAAGAAAAAAAAAAGACACAGCCAAGCAGACTAGCTAAAGCACTGTAACAATCAAGTTCACCCAATCACCATTTGCGAGTAAAGGAGCTGAAGACTGTATGTACTGATAACTACCAGCAAAACACCGTACTTGAGGATAGAAGCGCGACATGCATACGGAACACACAAAGATTAGTGAACTCTGAAACTCATACTAGCACATTTCATTTATAAACTATAGGCTTGTACTTTATTTACTCACAAGCTTTCTTGCCTTAGTAAACTTGTTCATACATTGAAAAAAAAAAACTCCATTTTCTTGTCACTTGCTAATGTGTTCATAAAGATTCTAAGTGACAATTCTTAAAAACCTGAACGCGTACTGAATCAGAGCACATCCAAGTCACTAGCATGAAGGAATGTAATTAACATATACTTAAAAACCTTTTGCGTGCTCTAGTACATGTATACCATAGAAAGAATAGCTACGTTCTACTTGCCTTGGCACCTTGGACACCATTCTTTTGGAATTCAGGTGGATAGTTGTAACTGTAGTACCCTGATGGCGCATTTCCAAGAAAGAAGGCCTCTAGGGCGGGCCCGCAGACATCGATCAGCGCACGTTCAGCCGTCTATGTTAAGAAGAGATATGTATGCAGTTTAAGTTTCTGTCACCTCACAATGTGCAGTGTGTTTCAAACGCAAGCGATTAGTCTCCATTGTTACAGAAGGTACTCCTACTGCTCGAAGGAACATTCTAACAATATGGTGGCCAGGTCATGTAATACAGTCAAATATACTTCACTTGATACATTAAGTGCTTCCGAGGCTAGTGAGATTTGTTACAGCAGATTCGTTCGCACCGAAAAAATATTGCAACGATTTTACAACTTGTATTGTGATTTTTTTTTCTTTTTCGTTTTTAGACATAGTAATATTAATGAACGTGTTTTGTGCTTCATAAATAGACAAACCCTGATATACGGTTGAGAAATAAGTTGCTCTAGATTGCTTAGCACCTCTTCGTTTATGGTGTTCCATTTGTTGCTTGCCACAACGCATTGCATGCCGATTACTGCTTCGCTCGCTTGAGCATTTAACGAGAAAAGAAGAAGTGAACCACACAAAGTTACACATTTTTCTGATCCAACTTCTTGCATAGCTACCGCAGTGTTGCACCGAATGTATAAAACGGTGTATAGCAACTTTTGCCGTGCTACAACCAATGTAAATATTCCAGCAGTACTAGAACAAGCAACCTTATTGGCCAAACACAATGCGAAAGTCTAGCAAAGCGGTTACCGTGATTGGCTGCTAACCCGTAGGCTGGGGGTTTGATTCTGGTTGTGATGGTCGCATTGTGATAGAGGCGAAATTGCATATACCAGGCTCTTTTAAAGTAGTGGGGTTCTCACATGCACACACTCAGGGGCGTAGCCAGGGTGTGGCACACCGAGCCCGTACCCCCCCCTCCCCAAATTTGTTTCGCCAAGGCATGGAGAGCGAAAAGGTGCCCTCCCCGAAATCGAGGAGGTGCCCCCCTACCCTCCTGAAATAAATTTCCGGCTCCGTGCCTACGGACACTCAAGGTGCAGGTATGTGCCGCAAACAAGGGGGATAGACAACACAAGAGCCTTCTTCATTTACTTCACCTCCACATGACAATTATTCACCGAAAGGTTCAGCAGAAATCAGAACCAACAGAAAACAAACAAGAAAAGTATTGTGGACATTATTTATTGTAATTATAATATAAACGTGAAAAAATTAAAGCAGGCAGAAAGAAGACTTCTTGACAGCAGGAAATAAACCTGCAGTTGTCCTTTTTTCCGCTTCAATTCCTTCAAACTTGTATCACATTTACCACAACTACTACGATCTTCAGTATTTTCCTTTGTTTTATTGTCTATTAATTCTCACTAATGAGTTTAGCAAGGGATTCTTGTAAGAAGCAAGCTGGTTACCTGTCGCATGGTTTCCCCATGAGCATGGACTGCCTGTGGCAGAATCCAGCGATGGCCCTTGCCCAACTGCTGGTTCACAACAAGCAGGAGTGGCTGGTCGAGGCACCGATGCGTGGTCCGTGTGTCGCCCTTCCTGTCGGCCTCTGAGGAGAAAGCTTCCTCTTACGAGAGTGCGGCGAGACAACCAGTGGTACAACACTACACAACCATAATCATACTCTGCTGAACTACGGCCATTCTACGGCAAGGGAATCTCCCAATATCCCACAGTTAGCCCAGTCCTGCGCTTGCTGTGGCCATGTTAACCATGCAAACATCATGATCTCATCTACCCACCAAACTGCCTTACCAATGTTAAGGCAAAAGGAGAGCAGAGTGGGTCACGAAACATACGTGTGCAAATCTTGGTAAAAATAAAGAAGGAATGAACACTATAATAGTATGTAGTCAGAATTCAAGACCACGGCTGAACAAGAAAATAAGAATTGATCAAGGGCTATTATCTCTTTTTTTTTTACACAATTATGAAAACCAACAGACAAATAATTCAAGGAGTGCACAGGGGGTGCTACTTGTGGTCTATTCCCTGTATAAAATTATGACAAAAATAAATATAAATGATAATATAATTGCTACGAAGCAGTAAAATGAGTAGAAATAATGTCCCCTACACCTTCCTTAGTTTCACTGTCTATCAGTTTTCATTAAGATAACAGCTGGTCATTAAAAAATTGGGGGACCCTTAAGCTTCGCCTTTAAGAGTTGAACGTGATAGCGAAATCCGGCCCCTAGTGTGCCCTTCAACCGCTAAGTGCATACTTATTAATATGTTTTGTTGCATACACACACATGCATGCACACAGTAGATCCCACCAGCGCACGCACGCGAATAGTACATACAGGTTTTTGATCTAAAGCAAGAGTCACATGGCCTCCAAGATACACGCCACGCGCTCGCCAACTCGGAGGCTATAAAAAGTCTCACAATGCCTCACAGATAGCAGCACATTATCTAGCACTTGCTGTTTGCTTGAAAAACGCCTCTAGAAAGGCGTGATATGTTTTCCGCTAGGTAGATATAGTTGTCCATTTTTAGAGCTCCTTGAAACTTCCTGTGTGTTTTTAGCAGTGATGGCTGCACTATCCTGGCCTTTTTCGACGTAGTTTGAGGCTTCCCAAATGCGTCTACAAATCGCCAAATGGGCTCGTTTTTGTCATGACACCTGTCAAACAAAACGCGTTAAAGGGGTCCTGAAACCCTTTTTCAAGTAACCATGGAATGATTTCACTAGAAGAGCTTATTGACTCACTAATTCAGTGCCTCAAAAATTTTAGAATCCGTCCAGTGCAAGTGGAGTTACAAAGGTTTGTCGCATGCTGCAATTGCACTATCTCTTCTCTCGTCCTAACGAAAGCGCTGGAAGCTAAGCAGGGTGGCAGGGGCAAAGAAACTACCGTGCCTCGAGACCTTGAGCACTTGCTTTTTTTGTTCGAATGTGAGGCTTTTTAAGTGTGATCGCATGCGCACGCGTGGAAAAGTAATGGCCTTCCGCGGCGATCTCTGTAATTTGCTTTTTCGCTCACAACCAACGGGGCCAACGCAAACGGCGGGATTTCTGTGACACAAGCTCTCTAATGCCATGGCGTTAAAAGTGACAAACTCGACTGAGAACCCATGCGTGGCCACAACCATAGCTGTGTATGCAAGGAGGTGCATAGGAAAGGACAATTATTCTCACTTCCTTGCCATGTCTCTGTATTTTTGCCTCATTTTACACCCTAACATGATAAGTAGTAAGCAGCTAATGGGTGGCATAAGGATAAGAAGGGCGCTGTGTAAGGTTCAGCATTTTAATTCGAGCATCGCATACAAGGAGGGCACTCTTGTCTACACCCACAGCCGAAACTGTCGTGATGGTGACCTCTCTTATCAAAATTTAAAGGTTGTCTAGCAAAGTATCTCTTGGAAGGAGAGTAGCCACCATAGAAACCACATAAGAGATAAAATTCTTGGTGGCCTCACCAGCACCTTGGTCGTTATCTCAGTGGTGCTGAGATAACAGCCAAATACAAGGATGGGCTGGGTTAGAGCATTCTAGTAAAAAAAGCACTATGCTGTGAAACTTGCTACTGCTTCATTAACATGTTTTACACAACAAGAAGCATGACACTGATATCTGTCAGCATAACGCAGGTGGTAATGTTTGGTATAAACAAAAGTGCCTCAACGCTTTAGTGAGCTGTACACATCCAGCTGAGTTGTATACTGAAAGTAAATCCTGCGTCAAGCTGCTGAATAAGGTTCTCAGCTGTTTAATGTCATTCGTTGGAGTATGACACTCGATGTAGTGTGGCTTGAATCCCTGCATTCACATTCCTTGCTCTTTTGCCGAAGTACAAAAAACAAGTCAGCTCATGGCAAGCTCATGAAACGAAGCCATGGTCTTACCAGTCAGCCTTGGGGCGGGCTTGAACTCCTTAGCCTTTCTGGTCCACTCATCTTCGATGTCCTGCGCTGTTTGGACAGTGATGGCAACTCCTTCCTCTGGGTCGGCCCTCCTTTTTTTGTCCCTGAGTGAAAAGATGAAAAACATGAAAGTGAAAAGTTCTGCCCCTATTCTGCATAGAGCCCATCCAATGCCCTCAGTACTGCCTCTGTAACTCTGACAGAAATTCATGACATTCCCATTACAAAACAAAAATTCAGCACTTGTGGCACAGTAGAAAGCTTAGGGTGTATTGGCGATCTCTCGAACAGTTTTGCAAATGCCTACCATAAAAGTGTTCTTACCTCAAAGTGGCCTCCTCTGCCAGGTTCAGTTTTCATGTCTGTCTTCTGCCTTAGCTAGAACGTTTTGAGAGTAAGAGAAACTTTCACATGGGTAATTTGCTAGAACTTGCGCATGATTACATAGACTGAGGTTCTTAAGCTACTGTCTTCCAACAAGGCTGCTGTGATGACATCGAGGCAGGGTAAGCCCGACACGTTCAACCAGCTTCAATGCCATACGTGGCAGAATCTCGATCAGCTTCTATGCATAAATGACGAAAGAACGAACATAAGACGAACCGACAGCATTAACATGACATCATAAACTTCACGTGCCCTCATGCTGGTCGGCATGGGGGAAGCTTTAGCTCAAGGCGTACTTTAGTTCTGTTATTCAAAGACATTTGAAACACTCAGATGACTTTATTGCAAAACCACTCCTATTAGACCAACTCGAGTATAATATCTTACATTGATACAGCAACATAATAAAGTGCCCATGAGATGGGATATTTTGATTTGAAAACCTCCAAATATTGACATTTATCCAAAAAGAATATTTATGCCCAAGATTACAAGTTCGTAACGATGCAAAAAAAAAAAAAAAGAAGAGGTATTCCAGGTCTGTAAGAAAATTTAAGTATTGTAAAGTAAATCACTATTAAATAACCATACAGCTACTATAAAGTAAATTTTTCTGTAAGTGAAATAAAAGTGCACATATTTGCACCATACCTGCCACATTTGCCAAAGTATTGCGAGAATCCTTCTTACAAATTTTGCAGTATATTTCGGGAAGGTGGGTCATAAAAAAGCCTTGTCGACTTCAGGCGTTTTGTCAACTCCAGAGTTGTAACTTAGAAGTGTGGCAGCTTGGGCTAGTTGGTATGGCATGACGATAGTTATAGCGCGAGAGCAAAACGACTACACAGAGTTGTATGCAATAGGCGAAAACAGTGACTCACTCGAGAAGCTGGAGCTCGTGGTCGCTGAGTAGGCTCCCCTCCACTTCTAAGGCATGCAGAATTTCGAGGTACTTCCTCTCCAGGGCATTCAGCTCCGGCACGATGACAGGCTTGCGCTCGAGGGCAACAGCGCCGACCAAGTCCCAACGGGGTGTCGAAGAAGCTTGCGACGTCGACGAACCGAACCGCGCCAATGCTGCGCGCAAAGCGTTCACCGGCGACCAGGTTCTCAAAACGAATCTACGGAGCTGAGATTCGCTCAAACATTAAGCAAAATAATTGTTTCAACAGAGCGCACCCCACGAGAAGAGGCTTTAAGAGACAGTTTAGCAGGAGACTTTCGCTTTGCAAATGAGTAAATTCAGCGACCTTCTTGGAAATCACTCACGAGTAAAAGCATACCTGCAGCAGCCGACTTCAATGATTTACTAGATGGTGAGAGTGCATTTTTTTTTCGCTGCTTACCTAAATCGTTTCTGTGCCGAGTCTTCAGAAGGCAAGATGCGTTTCGAAGTAACCTGCCCCGTATTCGGGCAGCGAGCGTTACGCTAGGCAGCGCCATGTTTTGCAAAACAGTACCGGCTTCGGCTTTGAATTCGACTGGCTACAAAACGTACTAAAGTCCAACTTGTGACCACTGTGTGGCGCGAACAGCGCGATGGTTTCTAGTTTCGGTTTCTTATGCTCGGAATTTCTCTGACTTTTTTTTTTTTTCATTTATCTTTGGTTTTGGGCGTCGCTCGGTGAAGGCTGTGCTTGTGTGAGAGCGTGTGCGATGCCTGCGTGCAACGTTGTTTCGACCTCGACGGACTGCTCGAGATCGCAATGATCTCAGTTGAAATGATTTCTTCGCGACTATTAGTAGGAGTGCCGACATACGCCGCGGCTGCGTTGCTTTACTGGAGAAGCTAACCCGATCGACTCTTCGTGGTGTGACTCATCGATTGGCGATTCGCGCGGATGCGATGAATCCCATGACGATCGCTCTGTCTCTTCTCGTCCTAGCCGGTGAGTTAAACGCACGTTCGTTCGAAAGATCCTGTATAATGCTCAAGCAGTCGCATTTTCCCTGATCTTTATCCTGTTGCCCGCAGCGGTTTGCTCGGCGGACTCGGAGGGGCAGCGGGACTGCTCTTCAAGCGAGTGCGCCGAAGAGGTTGGTTTTATGTTTTGTTCTCGACTAAGCTTCGATTTAGCACTCGAATGGTTTCGATCCCTTGTAGCTGTGAGTACGCACTCTACACCCATGCAAAAGCATCAGCTGGTCGACAGTGCCCGCACGTCTTTGGGAGTACAATAATTTCCGTTACTTTTTGACAGGGTAAGAACTAAACGTCGCTTTGTCGCCAATACGGAAGAAAGAAAGACAGAACTTCAAGCTGAAACGTAACTACGATCGTGCTGTCAATAGTACATATAATAGGTGCTACACAACCCGTACGACGTACGTGCTCATCGCTATCTACTGCGGATACCAACGGACAATGCAGTCCAATTACGGGAGCATATCTTTCACGGTGTAGTGTCCGATAACTGTAAAATTATTCCGTGTAAAGTACGTAACACCTCTGCGTAAATGTTGAACGCGACGTAAGACGATGCCGCCGGCTGACTAAAACCGACTCCGCTTGTAAGGGCATCAGTTGGTAACAAGATCGACCGATTTAACCAACAGGTATAGTTTGCAGGTATGTTCGTTAGTTTGACGGATGTTGTCTGAGCGCGTGATGACTCATTTATAGTCATTAGAGGACGTGTAGATGTGACATGCAGCTACAATCAGCAGCTGTCGTTGACGTTCGCCGTCTATTTTTGGCGCACACAAACTCGGGCACCGTTTTGCATGCAGCGAATAAATAGGCACGCGCGCGTTCGGTAGTGATACATGAACTTGAGTGTGTCTGAGGTGTCCAATAATTAAGTGTTGAGCGTGAATTAATCTTTTTCAATTATCATTTCAGAAACGTGACCTGTCGGCTGGCGAACAAGGTACGTTAGATCACTCTGAAATACTGTTGTTTGAATGAGCTGATCGATGTGTGGCTTAGTTCTTCAATCGCATCAGTCACGAAGATATACAACTGTCCTGACAGTGGAGTGTGCGCATATCTGTCTATGTCTGTTCTACTCAATAGTGTTCCAGACTAATATGTAATGTTGTAGAAATTGGAGCCATTCGTAAGTCACTTCTTCAAAGTGCACCATAGTCACAGTTCACGAATAAGTGAATCAACTAGCTACTAGGCACCGCCGAGCTACAAGATAAGGTGGCGTGGGAACTTTCCAGCTAGGATTTCCACGAAGTTTATTCAGTTTGTGTCAATTCCGGTTTATAAATTCTATTTCGTGGAAAAGATGGCCTTTTTCTGCTTTAGAAGGGCGATGCCGGTCTCATTTTTATTATGTGTCAACAATAAGTAATCAACTCTAGAGTAAAATATAGCAAGATATCATTTTGTGGTCCCAACTCTTTAATGCAAGACTTCGCATTGTTGTCCAGTCTTTATTAAGGAGTAAGAAAATGAATAATTTATTCTTGTTTATAGGGAGGCTAACTGATGTCAATTGCAGCATTAGAATGAAGTTGTTTTGTTGACTGCTGGCAGCTGCAAAACGGCAGCTGTTTGAGAATGAGTGCCGCGTGTTCCTTTTTCTTTAACAGCTGCTTTCTGAAGCTCAAAAGAACTTTACGCTTACACAGTCTTTGCAGCAACTAGCTTCCCCTACCAGTGACACCACTTCTTTTCTTTTTGTCTTTCGTAAGGACTTCGCAAGTATTGGGGCGTAGTGTTGCATTAAACTATTTTTTCTCTGATATATCAAACTGGACGTGCCTGTTGCTGTGTTACCCCAAGTTGTTCTACAAACTGTCAAAGGCTTCTTGTGTGGTTAGAATATTAATTAGTATGAAGGTTCCAGGATCAAAACCCAAATTTAACAGCTAATTTCAGGACTAGGATTCAGATTTCAAAAAGTGAACAACTCTTTTCTTTCCCCTCCACCAGTCAGAGTACGCTTCAGAAACGAAACTTGAGCCTTTATTTTTTCGAACAATGAACCTTATGGTTACAAGACTAAGGATAGCAGAGCTTTTTACTGAATGATTCTGTTTAAAGTGCTTTAATATGTCTGTGTGGCGTCCCTTCAAACCCTGCCATTAAATTAATAAAATGTCCTCCCACTACACGCTAAGTGCTTCCTGCAGGACAAGTTTATTCCATTCCCTCAATGCATAAGATTTTCATGGTGTATTTTGCCCTTATAATGCCTTTTGTATCATATTGTCATGACGTGAAGACAGAGGTCGTATTGAACAGGTAGAGAAAGCAGCAGCAAGACGGTTCTTTTTTATTTACCGGGCCCCAGAGCGGTCTTCGTCTTTCTTGTTACTGCCTTCTGCGTAAAGCGTGTAGATGCCCATCTGCACTGTCGTCTTCATCTTCCTCGCAGCACGCACATGGCATTTGCCTCCCTCCGAAAATGGCATCGTCTCGATGCACAGCTGAGGTGCTGTGCATAGAGATAAAAACGCACGAGAGCTAGCTGAACAGGTAGGGTTTCATTCTGATGACATGCACGATTTCGGTGAATGCTTCCGGCTTCTGGAACTGCAATCGCCACCAGGAATGACTTAATAGTTGACGTCGTTGAAGGGACGGGTGACTCGGTATGTGCCGAAGTATCGTCTTAGCAGCGTCTCTCATAGTCCGCATCAACATATTGCAATCCAGACCCATACCTTGTCACCTGGTGTGTAGGTAACTAAATGTATCGTAGATCATACCGTTTCGCATCTTTCTGTTGCTGGTGACAAATGCGCATGCGGACAGGCTGTCAAGCTTCCTTGGCGTGCTGAGCGAATTCTTCACTGCTGGCATGAGTGTCGTCACACTCGTGCGACAGCTTAGCATCCACCGTTGTAGTGGCTTCGGGACCGTAGATTATACTGAACGGTGTCATTCCAGTAGTTTCTTGCCAAGCAGTATGATAGGGGAAGGTCATATAAGGCAAGATTTTGTCCCAATTTTTATGTTCTGTGTCGACATACATGCAGAGCATGCCTGTGAGGGTCTTGTTAAGGTGCTCTGTTAGTCCGTTTCTTTTGGAGGTGGTATGCAGTTGTTCTCCGGAGAGCTGTACCGCTGAGCCTGAGAACAGACTCTAAGAGTTCTGCCGTGAACGGAGTTCCTCTATCCGTAATGACAACCATTGGAGCACAATGCCGAAGGACCACGTTTTCTATGAATTAATAAGCCGCTTCTATGCCCCTCGGCGTAGCTTTTGTCTCCATGTAGCGAGACAACTAATCGGGGGCGACGACGATCAGTGGTGACAATGGCAACGTGCATGTTGCTAGGAAGACAAAGAGGACAGCGAATACGCGCTCATGGAAATACATTCAGAGTATGGAAAACTGCAGCATAGTCTGCAAAGTGCTGCTTTTGATAAGTAAAAGACAGTTCTCAGTAGTGTATGTTCGGTATATGCATTGCCAATCGCTGCATTAAGCGCTGGATCTGGAGCTTCACCAAGACCTGCAGAAAAACTACATTAGCGCTACATTAACCGCAGAATCGATGCTAGATTAGCGCTGAATTTGCGCAGCATTAGGTGTTGAATTTAGAGTGTCTTGGCTCGCACGGGTTTTCTTTCCACATTCAATCTCCTTAGGCCAAGGTTCAACCAAAGCTTGTCAGGCGAGGGTAGTTCACTACAGAAATAAAACAGACACTCGCCTTGCCCAAAGAGGAACAAACATACATTGGCGTTTTGGGGATACTACCGGTCTCTTGTTTGTGAACAAGAGACCCATAGCAGCCCCGAAACATCAATATACACTCAAGCCTCGTTATAAGAAAGTAAATAAAAAATAGTCTTGTGATAGATAGTGTTACAAATAAGTCTTTATAATGAATTTTCAGGTATAAGGAACTTATTTTCATGTAAGATGCAACTTCGTTATAATGACGTTTTGAGTGCACGTGTGTTTTTTTTTTTGGAAAAGGTGAATGCGTGTTTTATTTTTTCAATTAGTGTTCCTCTAATTTATGTAGTCTCAATTTTCTGCACCATGCAGGATCGAACGCAGCAGTCACGAAGCAGGGCGCCACGCATCGCGCTCCTGCGTCACCTCAGCCAGCCCACGACAGCCACCAACAGGATAGCAGCAGCCAGCTCCTGAAGGTCAACTTCTGGTTGACACTGCTCATATCGGCGCTCGTGGCAGCGCTACTTTCGTGACCTTATTGTCACCTGTAATATACGTACACACACTCGCCGGTAGTATATTTATAAAGTAGTATTGATCTGTTGAAATAAATGACATCCCTACTTATCCACCACTGTCTCCAGAAGCACTTCTTCCTCACTGAGCAAAAGAGGGTTAGGGGGGATTGACGGAGGGCTCATTTCTTATCTAAGCTGTTTATGCTCCAAGAAACCTCATTCATCATTTTAAAAAAATCTTTCATCATCATGAACTGTGCACACTCTCTTTGTCCTCTTCTCTATGTTCTGCTTCACTCACAGAACATGTGTGGTGATTTCCACGGTGTGGGATGCGATAACTCGAATAGGTGGAAGTTTGGATACAGAGAGAGAGAGAAAGGGAAAGCAGCAAAAGTTAGAGAGTGGGTTAGAGAAAGAAACACTCAGAGCGTAGCACACGTATACTATATCTTAAGGTAGTATATCAAGTGAAGAAAAGTAAGGGTAAGGAGAAAAGCGTGAAGCATAGCATGGCCATGTGTACTATAGTACAGTAAGGAGATGGGAAAGGGAAGTATGGTATAGTAAATCAAAGGGAGGGAGAAAATAAGGAGAGGAAAGCATGAAGCATTGAGTAGCCATGTATATTAGAGTACAGTAAGGAGAAAAGATAGCAAACTATAGTATAGTCTATTAAAAAGGAGGGGGGGGGGGGGCATGAGGCTAAGGTTAAGAAGAAAGCGTGAGGCACAGCGTAGCCATGTGTGTTACGGTAAAGCAAGATGGCGAGGTGGAGGAGGGGAAAGCCAACAGCTCCATTTTTATCTCGGTCTCCACACAACCAAAGCGTAGCTGGCCCAATTCTTTAGTTTGACACGACCTAATGAAACCAGTGAACAGTGAAGGTAACTTAGGTAAAGGTGACATTACTTGTACGTTTTCGACTGCAGTACAGTAATTGTGACGTAAAATGAAAAAAAATTACAGTGGGTGGAAAATCGATGCAGGTGGACATCAAAACTAACACGTTCGGAGAATGTTCGAGATGCTCTATCGATTCAGCTACATCAGAATTTGCCTTCCCATCCACTTTAGCGGGCATTTACGTTTTTGTAATCTCGGGAGCATTAAATGGTGTTGCTGGTCGCCATGACAGTGAGTGCGGAACACGTTCTGGCCAGCTGGTGTGACGGCATTTTTTCATCACTGTTAGGTCACTACAATGGCTCTGTGGTTGCGGGGCTTGGCTGCAGACCAAAATAACGCAACTTCAATCTCGGCTGTGGCACTTTTGATGGATTTGAAATGGTAAATACTCATGTACCGCGTGATGTCTGAGTGTATTGAAGGACCCCAGGTCATTGCAGCTATCCACAGCCCTCTTCTACAGCATCTCTCATAGCTGGAACTGGTTTAGAACTCCACAAACAAAACCTATCTTCGTCGTTAAGTGGCGGTGTGCTTACACGTAGGTGATAATACTAGAAGAACAATGCTAACAAACGTTGACATATTTTCATAAATGTAAGTGCATACTGCTCTTATGTTAAAAATGTTCGATGCTGCTTTCTCACTTCTTTAGGGAGAAGTGAAGCTTCTACTCAAACTTACGCATCAGTGCAACATGTCTTATCATAGTAAGTTCTCATCATTTTAGATAAATCACATGGCAATTTAAGAAGCGTTACGAGTCTTGACAGCATGAAACAAAAACTTTCCTCTCATTAAACACAAAGCGGCTTCTTAACAAGCCGTAGAAAACAAAATCGATGTGTTTATTACGCCTTCTAAACTCTCACGAATGCATACGACTGGCAATGCTCTTGTACGTAGCTATAAAGCATGCTTTTCTTTTTTTTTTGCCATTTACCATGTTTCACTCGCTATACCATCAACCTACGTGCAAGTTTGAGGCACATTCTGCAGCAAGCCACCGCTTGCTTTTAGTTCATGCAACAAAGAACGTGTTCCCAGGTCGAAGCTCTGTAAGCCTTCAAGCCACGCAGTTAACCTCGTTTCGAAAAAGACCCTTTAACTACCACCTTCAGTGTCCTGTTGAGGCTGGTGCTGCCGCTGTGAAATTGCGACACTACATGATGGCAACGTACACATACGACTTTTTTTTTATAGACTTTGTATTCAATATACATCTACGAGTTTATGTACACGGGTGCAACGAGGTGAATAAAAGGGAAGTCCTAAATTTGCTTGACGCCCTGACGAAACTTGTCGGTGATGTAGTTCTTCATGTCGGTGTGCTCGACGTCCGGCGTCTCACCTTCTTCGGCGATGCGGTAGGCCCCCACGTAGGAGCTCGAGTACACAGCCTTCAACTTGGCCTCCTCGACGACTCCCTTGGCCTTGAGGTCTCGTTCGACGATGATGCGCATCAACGGCGGCATCTTGAGGTAGCGGGGCAGGACCTTAGGCACGGGGTCCACGACCGGGAGCGACAAAAGTCGCGCCTCCTCGCTCCTGGGCACCAGCTTGTAGTCGGGAACCTGGGGCGACTCCAGCTGGATGACGCCGAGTCGTCGGCCCCGGAACACCGTGTCGGCCCAGACGTCGCCGTACTGGTTGGCATCGTCCATGTGCGGCCGGACCTTTGTGATGATGTAGTACGAGGGCTCCGGGTACCGCTCGAATGAGGTCCGAGTGACGACGCGACCGACGCCGAAGTTCTTGAGGTTTCCCAGCAGCCAGAGCAAGTGCTTGCCAACGTACGGGGACGGGTAGCCGATGTACTTGATGCGAGGCATTGCGAAGAGCGGCTGTCTCTCTCTCTTTTTCTTTTCTACAAGTTGCACCAGCGTGGAGTCGCGAAACGTTAAAGACGAGCTTGACGCGAAAGCACTGAATCAGTTAATTTACCTCTTCAGACGAGGATCAAGCAGTAAAGCACTATAAGCATGCTCACAGCACGGAAAGCGCCATGTTCTTTTTGAATAAGGTCGGATCTCGGATTGACTCGAAACGACCGATTCTATGTAAACATATTTTTAAACATCTTTCTTCAACTTCAGAGACTTCTTTTTTTACGAAAGTGCACAACATAAAAAAAACTAGACGTCTACTTTATTATTTTTTTATAAAGTACTAAGCTTTTTAGAACTGACATATAGAGCATGAACTTAGTTTCGGTTTTGATTACATAGGTGTACCCTAGGAGGATATATATAAAAAAATTGCTGGAGTGGAAGCCGCCTATACTTACCCATAGAGCACAGTGAAGCCGGCGGCGGCCATCTTGTGGTGGGCAGGAAGGCGGCCGCGTAGCATATAGTGCACTTCCGCGGCCGTTTTTTTTTCGCAAATGATTGCTGCTAGAGAAGTAAAAACGTGCTCACATAGTCGCCGATACACTGGCAGTATTTAAAGAGACTACAGAACGGTTCGTTTTTCATGTGTTAAAATTTTATTTGTACAGCTTTCTCAGCCTTTAGCCAACATGAACGTTATGGCAAAGTTGTTTCACTGATTCCTAAAAATGACGAGTCTTGAAAGCAAAGACCTAACTTTGTCTTTCACGAGTTCCCGGCTTCGTTCCTTTGTCATGTGGTGCAGCCTGATCTTGATGTACAGCTCCAATACTTGCTTGCTCAAGTTGTAAATATGGTTGTCCAACACGTCGACGTCAAAAAGATGTTGTTCCAATTGTGAAAACCACCTCTTTTCCAGTGATTGACTCAAAATCTCCAGGACTAGTTGTTTGGTATTGGCATGTATGTTCTTAAGGCATTGAGTGGAAGCCTGCAGTCGACGCAGCCCCTTTTCCGCACAGTGACACAACGTCTTCGGAAGGGTAAAAGAGTCCACCTCGATTTTTTTGTCTCACCAATAGAGATGTATCCGCTCCATGAAGAGCTTCTATGCACAACTCACAGGTGTTTGTAGTAGCGATTTTGCGAGCGACAAAGCCTGCAATGTAAGGCACGACAGAGCAAACGAATGTGGAGAGGCTCTCTGGATAGTCAATTCGGTCTGTGTAATCGTGGTCCTCTGGTTGTAGGATGGCACACCTTCGCGATGTGACCTCAGTGGTTGCACAAAATGTAGTGGCAGAGGCAGATGCACCCAGAATAGAAACAATATCTTGCGAACAGTTGCCTGAGGTGGACGATCTCACTTCTGTCTGGACCAATAGACGCTTGTAAGCTGCCATGATTGGGCAGCTGTAGGGTTGTTGTTGAACCCCCCACGTCCTCGCACACAGCCAAAGAAAGTTTCTGCGTGATCTTGACTCATCTTGTGCGTGAGCAGATAGTTAAGTTGACCTTCATGAACGAGTTCCTTGAAGATACTTTCTGTGCTCTGTATACACACAAGAAAACCCACAAATCCTGTCCTCTTTGTTCCCTGCAAAAGTGGTCGACCGAATGGGTCTTTTTAAAGCACATATGTACTCTCGAGCGTCGGCAAAAAATGGTTTCCAACAAGGCTCATTTTGCTTCGAAGGGGGGCTTTGTATGATTTTGCAAACGCATTTCTGGAGTTTAGCAAATCGAAGAGATGATCAATACCCTCACAAATTTTGCCGTGGCACTAGCACCTCTAAACTGTGGCAGCTTCAGCGTTTGCTCGCAAAATTCAAGAGCGTCTGCGACTGAAGCGCTGAGTGCCTGAACTGCGAGCCGTACCTTCATCTTTTGCTTCTCCCACTGCATATGCACCTTAGTTAGCTTATTGCCAAGGCGGAGCCCTTCCTCGCGCTGTAAAGCCTCCAGTGCCTTTATGTAAGCCCATTTTATGTGTTTCCATCAACATCAGAGATGTAACACATTGTTGCCAGTGAATTTCTAATCAACTTAATCATGTGGCATGGGTCAAGCAGGATATGCACATCCCTTGACTCATCAACTGGGTTTTTAAAGGATGTGGAGAACTCGACAGGATCAGGCTTCAGTTCTGCACCAAGGCATTTTGCCATAGTGAAATTTGATGACGCACCATCAAATGTTAGACTGACAACTTGAACTTTCACAGATTCCAGTCGTTCAATGCATTGTTTTGTTAGTTCAGCCCTCTCAGAACCAGTGAGCGAGTGGATAAGAAAGTAGCCGACTGGAATTTTCAGCCTCATGTTTATGCCAACAACAATATAAACACAAACATTTGTGGCTTCAGGAAGGCTGTCATCATCAAGAGATGCTCCAAAATCAACGTAGCCAACTACCCTGTCTCCGACAAGTTCAACATGTTTCCTAATCGACATATCATCGACAATCAGAGCGCAGTAAAGAGTTTCAGAGCGACCTTGAACCAACTTCTCCAAGAAAGAAAATGCTTCACCTGTAAAGCCTGGTTGGCCATCAACAGACCTATACCATTCTCTGATTGTGCGCTGCGAAGGGAGGGCGTCATTAAACTTTGATCGCACAAATTCGTAGGCTGCTGGTGAGTAGAAATGTAAAGTTAGTGCAAACGTTCGCAGCTCTGGAGGGTATTTACCTCCACTTTCTGTCCGTGCCCGGTGAAGCAGCTGTTGTATGTCAGGAGAAAATGCTGCATCGAACATCTTGGAGCCCTCTTCTGACAAAAGCTTTTGTTCTTCGATGCCTCTAATAATTTCTTCAGCGGTGATTTTCTTTTGTGTCAGCCTTCGTTTGCTCTAATGGACCTAAGAGTGTGATGTGACGAAGCTGCTAACTAATAACATTATGCTCATGTTGCTTTAATTGTGCAACTTTCTTCAAATAAAATAGTCTTGAAGCTAAATTTGTAGAAATAACAGGTAAGTTCATTCAATGGCCTTACTCGCTATAAAATAGAAACACGTGGTGCCAATTTCCAGTTTCGATGCCGGTGGCAGTTTCGTTACTTTTTCCCAAATCCTTTACATTATAGTGAACATGAATTGTGTCCGTCATGTAGCTTGTTTTCCTTTAAATAGTCAACAACAAGCACACTACTTGGCGAAAAATATTCTTTTAGATGGGGAGCATCTAATACTCGAGGCTTGTAGTGCGGCGCCGTCCGCAAGCTTCCTCCTCCTTCTTCCACCATCTCTTTAGATTTAAAGTCTTTCCAATTAGCGTCACTTTTGACATGCAAACGGTGTATAATTCCAAATTGGCAGGATGAAATCAAGTTAACTATCGATCCTCTGTAACAAAAAAAAATATTTCAGGCACCCTTGCCTTCCAGATACATTGTGCGACTCTTCTTTTTCTTGCCTCATCACAATGCATTACTTTTGTTAAATATACAAACTTTCTCAGAAACTCTGAGCACATGTCTACATACCGCCGCGACAAATATAACAACGAAACACACCAAGGAACATGCTTTTACTCCATTCCAACCGTAGCCGTATCTTCTCAAGGACCAGATTCATCTGAAGGACTGTAGTTTCATGAGATCTGAAGTCACATTTATTCTCTCATCTAAATTTATTGAACAAGTGTTCAGTTCCTCCTTGTAACAGAGGCTCAATTTCGCTTTTGGATGTTCTCACAAGCTGAATACAAAACTGTAAACACACCTACCCGAACTGATATACTCAGTTCACTTCAGACCACCCGAAAATTCGCAATACATCAGTAGTAAAGACAGTAATGCGAAGAACCACAATCCAGTGCAGCACACAACAAAAAAAAACACGATATATTTAGCAATCTCGCCAAAAACGGTTACCCAAGATTGTTTATTCAAACCAAAAGCACAATGATGCAATCTCAGAAATGCAGAAACAGTATTTGCCCTATCAACACCAGGACAGAAACATATCACTCTCCGTTGTCCGAGGCACCAGCAAAACCATCGCCCAAACTCAGGCGACGTGCCATTCGTGGAAGGCTGAGTCAGGTGATAGTAAATACGTGAGTGGCCTGACCACTTTTGCTGCGGCCACATGCGCTTGAACTCTGAAACAGGAGGGATAAAGGCCGAGCTACGGCCTGTTCTAAACCGGAAACGATGCTGGGCATGCGTCTTCAAAGTGAAACCACATGTTTGAAGAACTGCTTACGTACTCAGCTACTGTAGAAAAAAGCAAAAAAGTCTTGCTGACTTCTTACAGTCTGAATACGTTGCCCGCCGCCGAGGATGGGGACGGGTGGTTCGTGCCTCCCGTCTTTGAACCCTAAAGATGAACCGTATGAATTCCTAAACGTCGGGACAATGCCCACTCAAAGTTCTAAAGATAAGAAGGTGCTTCAAAAAACATGTTTTCTGTTTTAGATGCGGAAGCATCTTATACTCGCGCCTTGTAGTGCGCCGTCCGCGCCGTCCGCGCCGCTTCTCGAACATTCGACAGCGGACGCGCGCGCATGCGCCGTCGCGCCGTCGCTCACCATCTGTGCCGCGCGCGCTTCTCCTTCTCGAACATTCGACAGCTGACAGCGCATGCGCCGTCGCGCTGTCGCCATCTGTGCCGCGCGCGCGCTTCTCCTTCGAGAACATTCAACAGCTGACAGTGCATGCGCCGTCGTGCTGTATATACTCAAGGTCGGCGCTCGCTCGCTGAGTTGCCGCTCGTCGGTTGGTTTGTACGGCGCGTCGACGTCCAAAGGTCGCGGTGAAATGAATGCCAACGAATCCACAAACACAATGATCGACGTCCCTTCGACCAGCGCCGTCCTTTCGCATACGTGTGTACGTGTTCACTCATTTAACACCCCCTCCTACAACCACGTTAACCAATTTAGCCTTCGACCCAAGTAAGTCGCAATTTAACACCCCATTTCACAACCACGTTAACCAATTTAGCCATCGACCCAAGTAAGTCGCACTTTAACACCCCGTTAACCAATTTTATGCTCCGCATCCTCCTCAGTGTTCCCCCGAGGGAAGCTGCGGGCAATTTTTTTTTCAAGACTTGCGTTTTCTGCAGGCAAATGGTGTCTCCAAAAGGGTGGTCGTGCATTTTCTCCCAGACAGCGGATGTACAATAAACACTGGAGTGGCGAGAAGAAAGGCGACCTTGCACGCGGCTCCTTCATCAAAGCCACCGCAAACCGCGGAGGCTCTGCAGCAGAAGCACATGGCGATATTAGTTTAAGCACATATGTACGCTGTGGTTTCTGAGTAGCGTGTGCACCGCCAGCATAGTCGCCAGCCACCCCGCAGTACCGCACACATGCAGAGACCCCAAGCATGCACGACTTCCGTGCGAAACCTACAGTGGCAAAGAAGGGAGCAGTACGACGCCGTGGTATAATGAAAAAAAAAAATGGCTTTGGGAACTTGCGAAAGGTATATCATCGTATCCAGAAAACAGCACACAAAGAAGACAAAAAAAGAGAGCGAACACACATGTAGCACTTGTGTGTGCTTCTTTTTTTGTTTTCGCCTTGTCTGTGTGTTGTTTGCTTCAAACATATGCCTGAACACGTGAACTTGCACGAAAGATTACATGTCATTATTGGTGATGTATATCAGTATAGCTCAATTTGACATTCTTAGCAGAGTGACTTAGTGGGCGAGTTGGTTCATTCTTAACGTAGCTTATAGCACGAAAAAACACGAGAGGACAAGCTGCAAACTATCAACTAAATTTATTCGGAAAGGCACATTCTTACTTGGATATTCTAAATGTGTCCTAACTGTGGCCGAAATAGAGTGTATACTTTCAGAAGTGCACTTTAGCGAAAGCAACACGATGTGGACAGTAGCTTGTGCCGCACATTAACGAAGACATGCCAGGCCATAATCGGTAGTGGACGTCCTTGTTGGCATGCATTCAGACGAAATCCGGACAAGTAAAGCTCCTACGCCACTCTGTGTTGTGTCTGTTCTCGGCCACAGTTTGTAAATCCTGTCTAGCCTTACATGTAAATTCGCCTGTCTCAGCAGTATCCCAGTGACAATAGTGCAAGCTGAGGCAAATTTTTTTTTTTTCACATCTTGATACAAAAAGATAAAGCTTGCAGCGAGAAATTTGAGAAAAATATTCAGGCAACAGTTACTGATCATCGCACAAAATTTGACATTCTGTTCAGGCGTAGTACCCCTGACAATATATTGATGTTCATGCAGCTAACGGTTGGTGAATTCATGGGCGTAGACAAGAAGTTACCAACCCCTAGCTTGAATGTGCAAGTAGTTTAAGAACTCCCTGCAATGAAAGCAATCGAGGTTGAACCAAGTTCAGCAGAACTCTTTACATGCGCAAGCCAAGGAACGGCAACTGCAAGGTTTTTTAACAAAAGCTATTTATTATATTTTTAACACCTCGCGAATCGCGCGAACTCTATGTTTATAACAAGGCCACAAACATAACGCACAAAAAACCTTCAATAAGTACACAAACAGATGCCTTCTAAATTCGACAAAAAAAAACTTGTCTCGTGTTTTCTTTTAACAGTGGAATTGCTTTCAGTTATCACAGATGGCAGGAACAACAGTATCCCGCCTCAAAGGAGCCTGTGAAGGGTGGGCCAGGCATGACCACATATGTGGCACACTTTCTGCACCGAGATCATTTGACTTCTGGGAAAACTGTGCTCTGTGTATTTAAAAGCTGCCAAAGTGAATACCTAAAGTGGAAACTATCATTATAAATGCGATATTGCACTGTTTTTCTATGGCAACAATTCTTGGCAGTATGGTGTGGGTCTAAATGGAGATCCTTCGGCACATTCAATATAATAGATATAAAGATACATTTTTGAATAGCTAAGAGCTGAGTCGTTCTATCACTGTGCAAAACGGCTGTTAAGATAACTTGATCCAATACTTCGTGAGCCTAACCATAACAAATGTGCATTTATCTAACAGCTATAGGCAGTACTACTAAAGTGCAGCATGTACTTATATCCAGGTTGTCTTTAGTATGCAGCTTTCCTTTCTACAGCTCTTCAAACTAATAACCATAACTAATAACATTGGGCACCTCTTGGTAATACTAAATAAAGAAAACAACGCTGCGCAAAAACACATACACAGCAACACGGTTAACAAGAAAATGTGGGCTTTCGCTAATTCCACTATTCCGCGACACAAACTCGTGCATAGTATAAAACTTGAAGCTGTTTCACCATTTTGGCAATGTCTGTACTCTTGGGCATTTAAAATAGATAACAACATTCAGTGATTATGGTGGCAGGCGTTAGTTCAAATTCAAAATGCGAATGCTGTAGTTATTGGCACCTCGTCGCTCACAAGTTAAACGAAGTGTCAATGGTACAACTGTACAGAAAATTTCAGCATCACAAAGCACACTGATGACTCCCCATTATGCACTATTGTTCAAAAGGCTCAGTTCGTCAAGGACCTTTCAGTCTGCCATATGTTCAACATACATTTGTCATCCGGTAATGTGGATAATTATGTAACAATTCATTATCACTAGTTTAAAAAGCATCAACATCGACAGCAATCTCTCTTGATTTTGGGCTCAACAAATCGAGTAAGTTTGTTCCATAATTCAACATATAAATAGTAAGTCTCAGCAGGATTTGCCAAAACTAGCTGCACCAGCGGTAACTAGTCAACATGCTAATTCGGTGTTTTCGTCATCATGGGGTGATTTGTACATACATCCGTAAGCGGCCAACTCGTGCAGCACGAACAATAAGCATGGAAAATTCGTGGCAGTGAGAAATGCTGGGTGGATTTACTACTGCAAAAGTTATGACAAGAAAGCTAACTGCCATCGACGCGGTCGCCACTGGTGCTACCATAAGATTGCTGCCATTAGCTCACAGCAAGAAATGCTTTCAAAAGTCCCTGCTCATTCAATTCCACTTCTACAAATGGCACAGCAAGAAGCCATCCTCTTGATATGAAACTCTCAAACTGTATTGTAGAACACTGAGACGCTTGTGTGAGTGTGCAAACAATGCTAGCAAAAACAAAAACACGGCTCACATAGTGCAATCAGCAACAGCAGTTAAAACATAGGACCCAGAAGGAAAAGTTATAATATGTATGTCGCAAATACAAGAATGGGAAGATACAGGAGAAACTAAAAATAAACAAAGCAGGTTTCATTACTTAGCGAACTAAGGACCATAGGGGATGACTAGATGACGAGTTTTGAGCAATCGACCACAAATATTATGCCTAACTACTTCAATATGTTACAAACTGCCCGTCATAAGCAAGCATTATGCATGAGATAAATTGAATCTCGTTCCAACAAGGCCACACATAATGCGAAAACATATACAAAATATTTGTTACATGCAGACATTAATCTCTTATATGCCGATACTGGCAAGCAAAATTTGTCTTACTCTATTATCTAACAAAAATTAATTATATTCAGTTTGGCTATATCATTCTTCAACTGTACTTGCATGACTGTAGCACATGAGGTCGGAAGTCATTTGAATAAATTTAAGAGAAAATGAAAGAACAGTACAACACGAGCTAGACGTGGGCATTCACGGCTTCATAATAGGTTTGTAGCAACACCTACTGCTCTTATACTTAGGGCTACCATTTCGCCACATGTGCGCTCTGCTGTATGCAAAACCTGCATTCTAAATGTTTCAAGCAGCATGACTCGTATGCAAGTCACAGCTTAGAAGTTACGATGCAGGGGTAGCAGGTGCGGATGTGACATTGATATCGATGAGCTGATATTGCCCAAATTTTATCACAGTACAGGTTTATTTAAGAACATGAATCTCTCCGCAATAGCCGCCCTCAATGCGATACACTGCAACGTCATTCGGATATCAAAGCTACCTTAAATGGGCGGTGAAACGAATAAAAATTTATTTCAGCACTAAACATGATGAGTCATTCATGTGGACTTTGATCTTTAGAAATCATGTAATCCTATCTTCAAAGGTTTTCGGAGCCCAGGACTTGTGAAAACAGCGATTTTCTTTCCTTTTGATGCACATATATCACGTTTCAAGCTAAAAGGTGCAGCGAATAAATTACCACACAACTTCCATATTCGCTTAAAATGTAGGTTAAATGGCAAAAGCACGAGGGCATTTATGTTTTTACAAATATTGTGTGCCCGACACCTTTGCTGCCATCTATAGCCTCAATCATGCACATGTTTCAAAGCTTTGTACCTTAGACAGTGATGAAGCAATGCAAGAATTGGCACTTTAAATCTGAATATTTCAGAGTGTCAGCCATCACAAAACACCCAAAAATACCCTAAAAAACTTAATGCTTCAACTAAGCTGCTACAGCACAAATCACTGCCGATAATTTCGTTAAAAGCTGCCATTTCAAAGCACAAAGTACTAGCATACTTTAGCAGAGGTTACTGGCTCACACCAAGAATTTTCCAAGTAGTATACACGAAGTTTACAACTTGAATGTGTAATTTACTGTTCACAATGAAGCAACAGCAAACATTAGGCACAGGCATACACAATAAACAATCCATGACTAATGCACATCATCCAGTGCTTCTTAACAACCTACTACCGTCTCACCGTTAATGAATCTATGCATGTACATCACCCAAGCTCAACTTAATGAATTCCTACTTGTAATACAGAACTCTACGAATATTTGCACTTCAACATTAACTCAGTCTCCTTGCTTCAGCACTTGAAGTTACTTCACTGGCAAGTTCTGCACGTAATTTTTTTAAGTGTGCACAAACCATATTCAACATCGGCTGGTGTTCTTTGTAGTTGTTACAAAAAGACGAAGCACAGCCAGCCACAGACACTTATTAGACGGAGGTACCCCAACAAGTTCAGTCTTGCTTTTTAACACATCGCCTACTAATTAAATGAAAATAATTAAATTCATACCAAGCATAAATGTAAGGCTTTCACTGTAAAGAACTGGCCACACTGGCAACCGATCAAACCATTAAACCGCAAATGTAATGGCTCGATCGTTACTAAACTGAAAACTGTGGTCGTAGGGTGGCCGTACTGCATGCACAAGTGATGGACAAATAATGTTTTGCTTTCGTGAGCTTGATGCACACAGCACCTTCACGCTTGACTTTTTGGCACTGTTACATTTTTCTTGTAGTCACATGTCACTGACAATATGGCTTTCCAGCACGGCTCAGTTACCTTGTGGCTGAGCAAGTGATAACCTAAAAGTGAAGTTGGACGAGAGTGGTAGAGGGAATCTGGTGTAACTTTCCCCATGGTTCTAAATATGACAGGATATACATTTCTCAGCTGGGCTCAGCTCCAGAAAAACATAGCATAACTCCATGACATCAGTAATGTGTTCCTTAGGTGTGTTGTATCGGATGTGAATAGAGACATACTACTGCGAATGAAGCAACAAGAAATAAAGCTCAGCCCTGTAGATAAGGACAGTCACAGCTGTAAATTGGCGCATTTCATACTTTTTTGTACTGTTATTATTTGTCTTTTTCAATGCTTTGTACTGAATAATAAAAGAACTCTGAATATTACTGAAACAAACATGCATCTAATATAAAAATAACTTTCCTGCATCAGAAAATTTCTCAGACACGTTTCTTCATTAGAGTGTAAACGGAGAAGGACACATTCTTACTTACTCCATTATATTACATAATTCATCATATCAGTGTTTTTTTATATCTCGGCTAAACTATACATGCCAGTTAGTGTCGACCTTCGCAGCGGTTTCATTTAGACAAGATGAACAGTCAGGATAACTGCCATTCGGGCGTAACAAAAGCGCCCGAGTTCTTTCTTTGTCTCTGTTCAAGTTGTGCTATTGAAATTGTCAATGATGGACGGCTTAGCCATTGCCACTGTGGCAGGGAGGGGGGGGGGGGGGTATTTTCCTTGCAGAGTCCTTGCTTACATACACAAACCAATCTTATCCTTATGTTATGTTTTGCTTAAGTTTTTGTACACTCTGCGTGTGTTATGGGGGCACCAAAATGGTAACAGGGTAAAAGATAACAACAAGGTTGGTCTGTGAATACTGTCCTGCTTAGTTTATCAAATGCACAAAAGGTAAAAGATGGATAAGGGAAACGCGAGATAAGGATAAGGCTGGTTTGTGCATATGGGCCTAAGACTCGTCGATGTCCCCAGTCGTAAGACACTGTATGACATTTTGTCGCTGGTGAAAACAGCACTTGCAAAAAAGACACGAACAAAACAATGAGTGTGTTGCCCTCACAAGCAGTAAAATGTCATACAGTAAGTAACACGAACCAAGCCAAAGAGTTATCCTCAGCCATCAGACACCTAAGCTTCTTGAAGAAAGTCACCTTGCCGCTATTGTGATCCCACAACACAAATCTACCTGCGATTGCTCTTGAACTAATCCGTACTCTCGGTCAAACGTCAACCCTATTGCGACTGTCACGCGCTGCGCTGCTGTCCGTGTCGCAGGAACAACTGCAGTCATCTTCGCTGGGCGGAGACTGTGCGGTGAGAGATTCAAGGTGGCCGGCCATGTCGTTCTCAAGTGCACTGGCCTTGAGCATCTCCTCGCGCATCTGCGCCCGTGGCAGCGGAAGACACTGGTTTCGACGCAGCACCACCGGAATGCTGCCCGTAGGATGGAGGAGAAGATAGTAGATCACCTGCACAAACAAACTGCATTGTCTCACACATAGCCTGCACCGAAAATTGAAAAAAGAAAAGAAAGACTGAAAAGTGGGGGTGCGGGTTATCTGCGAATAATCCGAAATAAGAGGTCGGCTTCGCAGCAACGCATGGCCTGCCGTGCAGTCCGCATCCCCATCGGCATCGTTCGGTGCAAAGCCAATAAAAGCCAACACAGGCCATAGATAGACCCCCTCCGTAGCGTGTTTATTTACTTTTCGCATGCTTTGTTTGATTTCGTCAACAGAGTCACAAAAGTGATTTGATAGCGTCTGTCGTTTCTTTGTTTACTAACTGTACCAGTACCCTTAGCGGTATCCTCTGCAGTGTGCTGCACTTGAGGGCGACGCAACTTTGAATGAAAGGACTTATTTCGTTGTTGACGAGCTCCGCCATCTACCAGAATTCTGCCTGTCTAGTATGTAATTTTCCTACAAAGAAATAGTTTTCAGGCAGAACAGTGGAACCGCAATGGGAGCCTCCATAGTCCGTCACAATGGCAAACCTGACCATGGAGCCTATAGAAGGGAAAGCACTGAGCTGCCTTCTAGCTGCGACCCAAGCTCTTTCTTCATTACATGGACGATTCTTTTTGTGTCATGAAGACATCTGAAATTGAAAACTTCAAAAAGCGCTTAAATTTCGTGCACCCAACCATACAATTCACGGCCGAGTGTGAAAGCGGCCAAAGCCTGCCCTTTCTCGATGTCCAGGGGGAAAGAAAGCGCAATGACTTGGAGCTCTCTGTCCATAGGAAGCCTGCGTACACCAGCTGTTACCTTCTATACGATTAACATCATTCGGCCAGCTAGAAGGCCTCGGCTTGTGATCACATTACTTCAGAGAGCCAAGAACATATGTTCCAATGACACGGAATGCGGGAAAGAAGAGGCTCATGTAATTTGCGAACCTCAGAAAAAATGAATACCCTGAAGAACTTCATTCGAATCCGTCACCAGCCGCGCAGAGCAAAAGAGGCTATGCAAACCCCAACCAGCATTGATTGGCAGCTTTCCGAAACACGTGTCGGTTCCATACGTCCAAGAAACCAGCGAGGCTTTGGCTCAAATTTTCAATAAAGAAGGGGTGCACATCGCACACACGCCTATGCCTTTATGCACGCTGGGCTGCTTCCTCCCCCACCCGAAAGACCAGGCCAACAATAGACAGGACTCCCGGCAATTGTTTACAAAATCGCCTCCGCAGGGTGCCCTTCGTATATTAGCAATACGAAAACCTGCCGGAACGACTCAAACAACACAGTGAATGACATCCGGAAGCTGAACAAAGAGCGCAGCGCCGACGCTGAACACTGTGAGACGTTTGACAACTAAGATAAATTTCAACGAAACAACCACACTGGAAAGCGAGACTACCTGGAGGAGAAGACTCCTAATTGAGCCGTGGCACATACAGCGAACAGTCCAAAACATGAATCATTCCCTCGAACCCTTCCCCCAGTGTATGCAAACGGACTACGCTCCGTGGCAAAACGTGGGGTCATTAATCGTCACGTGAGTGCTTTCAAGACGCCGCTCCAGTGTCGCCACAGTCCCCTCCTGAGAAAGGAGCCAAGTCAGTTCCGGCACGTCAATTTTAACGTGTTTTCACATACTTTACTTTGGTTGGAGTTGAGACAGTCTTGCTCAGTTCTCTTGGGTTTGAATGTTTCAGTCTAATGCTACTGTCTAGGACCTTGTTATACTTCAATGCAGCTACACATTCATGATATGTGATGGTAAGTAGTTTAATATACAGTGGCACTTTCTGAATGTAGTATTGCCGGCATAATGAACGCACTCACATAATAAACACACCGCCAACTTCAGTCTTCAATATTTGGATCTTTTTTTTTTCTCTCCTGCGCAATAAATGCACCCCCGACAATCATCCGCAGTAGTTCCGCAAACCGACACCTGGCGCTTTCTTGCCTGATGAATGTTTTCCGTTTTTTATTATGCCGACACCTTCGGCCCCCTCAGCTAGCTTCTTCACCCCCTTTGGGTGCTGCCATGTGCCATTTCGTTTTTATTTTTCTCTGTGCGTGGCACATACTTCGTCTTTTTAATTATACATGCACCACAGCAGGATTCATGAACATTGTGAGTCTAGAGACATCGCAGCAGACAAGCACACAGTGACCAAGGTCATGAAACCGCCAAGCAACGGCTGCTTCCCGCAAATATGAAACTTTAAGGCCTAACAACATTCATGCGATTTTTGAGCCACGACCATAGGATCTCCAGTCGCCATGGCTGTCGTTAAGGGCCATTGATCACCATCATGCCACAGGTTTCTCGAAAACCAGAAAAAAATCACTTTTCACCCAGAAAAACATGGTAGTACCTTTGATTCCAGCTTAAGTTGCAATTAGCTCTTCATGCTTGTCATCTGCGCATACTTCAAGGAATGCAGGATATAGGCTACCTCTTCTACAGTCACTTCTCAGGTGGACAGCGAGGCAGCAGCTATATTTTGCGATTAACCTTGTTATTAATAGTTTGTTTGGATGGTTTGGCAGTCGCTCCCTGCAATGTTGTTTACTTGCTACAGTGTCAACGGTGTCGTGCGAGGTTGCCTGAGGTTTCCACATAGTTGGCAAATTGCGTCGTACTGTGTAGTGCCCGCTTATGGACGCCCCTCGAGATCACAGCAGATACCACTGTTGCAGTTGAATGATTGCGAGAAAAGAAAGCTGCAAAAGGCGGACATGGAGTGCGGGCAGTGTGGGGACAGCTGGCAGATGATAGCGCCATCAACTACCGAAGATGAAGTGAAGTGCAACAAAGAAGCCGTTTCCGAACAGTGTGCATATGTGTCAACTTCAACACTAAGCGGCCAAATTTTTTTTCGCATTAACGCAGTTTTAGCTCATGTCAAAAACGTTTACATGAAATTTGCCCCACATAATAAGCCCACCCTCAACCTTGCTTCGATTTTTCGGAAAAATAAGTGCGTTCATTGCTCGAGTATCTGTGGTAAACATTGCTGGAAGTGGCACTCCATGTGTGTGATTGACTCTCCCTTTGTCCGCATTGTCGTCGCACCTTACACTTTAAGATATGCCGAACCAACACATGCCGACTGATATTCTTCCATTCTAGCAATATTAGTACTATCCAACTTCGATTATGCTACAACAACACACCAAGTTCTCTACCTTATCGTGTGCACACACTTACCATGAAGGTGATGCCAAGGAAAAAGCACAGGGTACCACCAAGCACTGCAGGAACCTTGTACCAGATGTCTGATGGACTGTATACATAGAAGACGCCCAGCAGGATAGTGTTCTCAACAAAGGTGCCCACGTAGAAGGCAGACATGCGAAACCGAGTCGGGGTGTCCACCGGGTTCAGGTAGCAGAAGATGAAGACCACGCCAAGCACCAGGTTGTACACCAGCTCCTCCACTCTGCAATTGAGAAAAGGAATTAAGATTTCTGTACCTTGAGCTGTGACCGACGCTGTAAACAGCTACCGCCGACAGGTACTGACTCACAAAAAAATTATTACCGCACAAACAAATTAAAGAGTATATACCATCGGCTAGCACGGATGACTAGTGTGCCAAGCGAAACATGATTGCTAAAGAAGTTACAAGAGAGTTAAGGCAACTTGAGGTGCCAGGTCTCTTCTCACAAATGGAACCGTGGAAAAAATCTAACCCCTTTAGCTCTGACATTCTCTGTGACTGTGTCACACTTCGGCATAGAAAAAAAAGAAAAATATCATGCAAGGCTGATTCAAGGTTTTCTTCTGCTTATTGAAGCCCTGAACTTTGTTCAGTATGCTATGCTGAATAATAACCCAACCTCTAGAGGCCACTTTCATCAAATTGTCTTTACAATTTCACGAGCTTCCATTAACACATTAACAAAGCTCTTGCAATGTTTGTTGTCCTACTTACTGCTCGATGTTTTCTGCCACCTCAAAGTGGCTGATGATGGTTTTGAACAAAATTACATGCTATGCACTCGCGATCGATACTCGTATTTCTTATAGTTACGCACTTTTAGTTTTGCCTAAGGTTGGATGTTAGACTCACTGATGTGTTATAATAAATGCCACTGGCGAGGCACATACAAGGCAGCACAAAGAGTGACACAAACACAAAGCACTCTGTGTGCATTAAACTTATTTCAGACTATCGCGATCCAAGCTGGAAGCACAAGTTTCACAAAGGCTTGGGTGACACTGGTGTACGCGGCCAATACATCAGTTGTCCCAACCTGTTCTCGTAGAACTGCGTCTTCATCGAGATGATCCACGCAGACATGATGAGCCAGCGGAGGCCACAGACAAGGAACATGTAGAGTGGGAACAGCGAGGCAAACAGCCCCAGTGCCAGCACTCTGGGCACGATGACAAACAGACGCCACAGGAAGTAGACGGCTGCGCCGCGCCACCGCATGTTGGCTTTGTCCTCGATGACCAGCCGCAGCGACTTGTTGTACGAGGCCAGGGACCAGGCCACTGACACCAGAGACGTCACGATGGACACATTCTGTGCCACCACTGACGAAAAGAGAGGGGTCTGCAGTTTATGAGGGTTGCGAGGAACCTATATTCTGTCACGACTTAAAGGAAACATAGGCTCCACCTACAGAAATGCAGCATGCCTGCACTTGACCTGTGAAAGACAGTCGTGCTAGATTGTTCCACTCAAACCACAACTATGTATTCCCGGATAATATAAATACTATGCATATAAAGAGTTAAAGATTCGTTGTTATTACCCAGAAAAGATGAGCAGTGTTGTCAGAGTCCCTGACAGGCCTGTAGCGAGGAACATTAAATGGGAAGCATTTCTTTGCATACTGTAAGCACTTTTGGTATCTATCTGCGTGTTTATCTATCTATCTAGCCACTTACATCTGGGTGCTCTCGTGATCATCCCCTTAACTTGGTGAGAACCAAAATTGGTATGGGAGGGTAAAATAGTATGCCGAATTTGACGCGCTGTTCAACACAGCAAGAATGCCACAATCCCGTTGCATACATCGTCAAACACTTCCCGCCAGACAGTGACAGTTTTTTCTAACGTTCACGCGTTAGAAAAAACATGAGATCGGCAGCATTGACTCGAGGAATGCAAAAAATTAATGTCGGGATCCCAGCAGGAATCAAACCCAAGCATTCTACGTGGCAAACAAGCATTCCACCACAAAGTCACACCAGGCCTCGGAAGTGCTTTTCAAATACACCTTAATGTTCGCGAAACATCAGTTGTAGTTGCAGTGCTGGCTATCTGATTTTATAAAGCTTACATGTGTACACTTTTAATACTGCCGCCACATCGGGTTAATGACAATTGTAGTGGGGTGCCGTGAACTGGAGTTGATTTATATAGCAGTGTGCAGGCTACCATCCTCGCGAGCCCCAGCGCTTCGTAACAGCTTATCGCTTCTAGTGTTGCTGATACTCATGTTCCTGTTGGCATCGTTGCGCAAGTGCAAACAACTGGTTATATAAACATCTGCAATTCTTCTGCTTATGTCTGTATGTGCAATATTTATACATATATTCAACGTCATTTCATGACCTTGTCACTTAATAAAAAATTACAACACAGTTACTTCCCCTCCGCATGCTTTGCATAACGTCGATTCCCAAGGTATGTGGGATCTGCCAAAATTTTTTTTTTGGGGGGGGGAGGGGGAGGAACTTGTTGAAGGCCTTGGAAAACGTCTAGTTTCATTAATTATTTTTAGCAAAACAACCTGATTCATCTGAACTTTAAGGGGAGGAGGGGGGGCTACCTTCTCTTTGGCTATGGGCCTGGTCGCTGATGAGACTTACTGGGACGGAGAAGTTTCCAACTTGAAATCAGCATAATAAAAGCGTGTTTTTGTGGCAAAGTTAGCTGTCTGAAACACTCGAGCAGTGCTTGATGTTATGAAAATGAGCAAGCACTACTGGGTGAAGTATTTATGCAAATTGTTTGAGGCAGGGACGTAGGTGCCTGTGGGCGGAGCCGACATCTTTGCTTAACTTGTAACAGAGTGCAATGTAGAGGTCTGAAAAGTCAGTTTGCTGTCCAAAATGTGAGTCGTTTTACTATTTAGGCACAACATCAATACGACATGGATGCAGAGGAAACCGACATACCCACTTTGTTTCTGTCAACCATATCAATCTTTGCTGTGCTTAAATGAATTTACGCCTGTCAACATGCGAAATATTGTTTTAAACTAGCTCAATGATACACTTAGATTTTAACTGAACAACGAACAGAATGATAAAACAAAAATGACAAATCATTTGATAATGGTGTTAGTGCTCTGTGAAAAAAAAAAACATACATTGCATTTCATACATACTAGAAAGCAATTACCAGTTGAAAGACATCTTTCACAGCTCGTGTCGGATGTCATTACATAGTGTGCCACATTGAAACAAGTATGATTGTTTCGTAATTTTGAAGTTAACATTATGTCTCATATTTTTATATGCAACAAAGTATGGTACGTTCATCACATGGACTGTGTTGCAGGTTTGAATCATTGAATTAGTAGAGCTGCACGTTTTTGTAACGTGTGGAACCTGCAAATTGCTTATGACCAAAACATAATGCGCTGGATATTGAAATCTTACAGCCATACAAATAATATACGATTTGACGTAATTTTACAAACATATATCCCAATATATTTGTCATAAGTGAAGCACCAGCTATTGTACGAAGTAATGCAAATGGATAACAGCACAGAAAACAATGTGCAGAGTATAAAAATGTTCAGTCCTGCCTCCTGATTTATTCTCCTCGGTCGCTGGGTACCCAATTGGGTATTTATTTATTTTTTATTTACAAATACTGCTGTCTCACAGTTCGAGACATTGCAGGAGTGGGTCCATAACAGTGAATACACACTAAACTAACAAAACACATGGTTTGGTAGTTCATTCAAAAAACTATTGGTAGGCAACTTTCGGAGAGAAACATCCAGATTATTCCACAATTCCACTGTGAAAGGAAAAAATGAAAACTTAAAACAATCTAGAAATGGCATGAAGGGTGTGATGTTAATGGGGTTTGACCTCCGAGTGTTTGCAACGGAGTTGGCAAAGGAAAAGGGCATGTCAATGGTGATTATCTTGTTCACGATTTTATGTAAAGTGCCGATACGCTCGCAAGTACGTCTGTGTTCAAGTGATTTGAGTGATAGACGTACAGCGTGTGACGAAGGCGAAAAATTGTGATCATAACGGTGATATATGAATCTTATTGCTTTTTTTTGAACACCTTCCAAGTGTGCTATGTCGCATGCGCAGTGAGGTGACCAGACAACGGAGGCGTATTCAAGAACAGGCCGTATCAGGGATTTGTATGCTGTTAGTTTGCATTCGTGAGTTGCATCTTTTAACGTTCGCTTCAAGAAGCCCAATTTTCGGAGCGCTTTCGAGCAGATTAGGTTTATATGTTTATGCCATTTTAAGTTCGGTGAGAATGTTACGCCAAGGTACTTGTATTCGTTGACATGCTTCATGTTCTGGCCATAGGAAAAACGTAGGGGTTCCTTCTTGTTTGTGAATGTCATGCTTACCGTTTTGTTAAGGTTTAGTGCCATTTGCCACGTTGAGCTCCAGGTACGGAAAGAAGAAAAAACATTATTTAACTGTATTTGGTCACGGGAGGTACTAATACAAGAATAGAGGACACAGTCGTCGGCGTATAGACGGAGTTTGACTTTTGTATTTTTTGTTATTTCGACAACATCGTTGAGATAAATTAGGAAAAGAAGAGGCCCAAGGACCGAGCCCTGCGGCACACCTGATGTGACAGGGAGGGATGACGAATGCGAATTGTTAAACGCGACAAACTGCTGCCTTAAATTTAGGTAATCTGAAAGCCAAGATAAGAAGCAAATGCCGTGAGTGCCGCGCAGAAAGGCTTTTAATTTGAGGAGGAGTTTATTGTGGCAAACAGTATCAAACGCTTTCGAGTAGTCAATAAAAAAAATGGCGTCCACTTGACCGCAATCGTTTAAAGTCGAAGCGATGTCATGCGTAAACCCCAGCAACTGCGTGACTGTTGAAAATCCTGCACGAAAGCCATGTTGATTTTGGGAGAGGAGGTTGTTTTCAGTTAAATATGTGACTACATGTTTGTGAATAATGTGTTCTAGAATTTTACAGCAGGTGCAGATTAATGAAATAGGTCGATAGTTTGGAATTACTTGTTTGTCGCCAGATTTGAACACCGGAACAACTTTTGCATTTTTCCAAATCTGCTGTACAATTCCTGTTCCAAGGGATCTCTGAAAAATGACTGTTAAATACCTCGCGTTCCATTCAGCGTAACGTTTTAAAAATGTGTTAGGGATGTTATCAGCGCCGGCACTCTTATTTGTGTCGATGTTCAGTAGGAGATAGACAACTCCAGCGTAACTAATCTGTAGTTCTGGGAAGGCAGGCAATGTACTGTCAAGACCGAAAGCGGGACTGGTGCCATCATCTGTACTAAACACTGATTTGAAATAACCATTGAACGCTTCCGAGATAGTTAAAGAATCCGAAGAGGGCTGCTCGTTCACAATAAGTAAGGAAGATGTCGGGCCTGCAGGATTAAGAGTTTTCCAGAATTTAGATGGGTCGTTTTTCATAAAGGTTGTTAACGAACTTTCATAGTAGAATTTGCGGGCAGCATGCATTTTTTCTCTTAGCTCTGTTTTCAGAGAGTTCAATAAGTGCTGGTTATTTAGGAGAGTGTTACGATGCCTTCGAAGTCGCTTTATTCGCCGAGTAAGCTGAATAATTTCTCTGTTTAGCCAAGGATGCCGAGGGTTTCGTTTTAGGCACTTCTGTGGGACATATGTGTGTATGCAGTGTTCAACAATCTTATAAAACTGATCAACTAACAAGTCCACATGACATTGGTTGCTATTGAACAAGAAATCGTCAAAAGACGCTGCTAGAAATGCAAGAATTGAATTGTCGTCCGCGTGGGTAAAATCCAGAACCGTTTTGTACGTCGGAAGTTTGGGTTCACAGGCAACATTCAAGCTAAGAAGGACTGCCTTGTGGTCAGATACCCCATTCACTGCTTCACATTCAAATTCATTCTGCTGTACAGCCTCATTCAAGAATACAAGGTCTAAAATTGCATTTTCCCGCGTAGGAACATCGACTACTTGGGTAAGATCAAACGACACAACAAGGTCAACTAAAGCTTCACTGAGTGCCCTATCGCGACCAGTGGGTAAGAGTAAATTCCAGTCAACATGCGGTACATTAAAATCACCACATAAAATCAGTTTAAATTTGTGAAGCCTGTTTTTCAATATATAATCACTAATAGCAGGAAAAACAACGTGGTCAGTACCAGGAGGCCGGTATTATTGCTGTTTTAAGGGCTACACATCATAACGGTTCGATATTGGTGTGTCCAAATTTGTCTTGCCACAATAAAATTGAGTTGCTTTCATGAAGCCTTGATAGGTGACGTCGTGTGTCTAGTCATAATCGAAAAGTGAGCGAACGAAAATGACCGAGTGCTGCACGAGCACTTGGCTGCGTCCTCGTGATTAGTGAAAGCATTTTTTCTTAGCTGTAGCGTGAACGACATCGTCTATAGTGCAATCTTTTAACTGTGGACACCTTGTACATCATATTGAAAGTCATTTCTGTCTGATATTTTTGTTTCACCCAATCTCAGAGATTTCAAAAGATCAAGAGTACGCAAATACGTACCACCACATTTTGAGACAGCCGCTCAATTTTTCGAATTCACAATTTTTCTGCATTTATATTCAAGAGCAGGAAGTCAAATAATGCAGTTTCGCAAAAGCTTTTTACATTGGTGCATTCTCGGGACTGAGGAGGTTATAACCTGATGTTCATACATCACAGTAGGAAGATTGAATGATAAAATATTCTGTCTCCGCATCCTTACACACTGCATGACATACTGTAATATGCTATATAAACGTTTGGCTTTTTCTTTTACAATCTATAGCAGCCTCCACCAACCTAGTAATGTAATGTAACCACAGTATTGTTATGTAACAATATTACACTATATTACTACATTCATCAGCCTGCATGTCATACTGCTATTAGAAGACGAAGCTATGTAAGAATCTGGCATCTGTTCCGGTTTTTGTAAGCACTCAGGACAAATAAATTTCAATTCATTTCAATGAATCCCACATCTCTTGGGAGACAACTGACTTGTCCAAAAGTCTTCCTCTTGGTGAGGGTAGTCCCTGGCCAGAATGCAGATCTGCAGAATCAACTGTGGAGTGGCCTCCATGAAGCATTCAAAGAGACGCAACATGCTGGCGTCGACATCTTCCTCCGCACTCCGTCTGTAGAACTCCCGCTGCTCCGATTTGCTGCGGGCGCTTTTAAGGCCATAGATGAGGGCATCCACATACCTGCATCCACAAATCAACTTTACCTGTGTTGCCTAAACAGCAGACGCTGCCACACATACGAATCATTTGAACCTTACGGCAGGCCTGTCCATGTATTCCAACAAAGAATGCTGGTAAGTATCAAAGTGCAAACGCTAACTAAAAGTTGGATAGCAGACTGTCTGTCAATTGAAATCTTTTGAATAGAATAGCTACTTAAATGAAACTGCCTCTAGGATTATTGCTTTTGAACACAAACTTCATACCCTTGTCCACCTCTCAGTAAATGAAACTCCTGTTCATTGGAACATATCTTCCTATTCCCTTCAGGTTCCATTTAATGAGTATTCCATATTTTTTGTTCATGGTGTGAACAGAAAGCATCAACAACAGCGACAAGGGCTGTCAAGAACTGTTTCAAAAGTACGGGACTAGACTCTAGACTTAAAAGAAAACTATCATATTATATGCTTATTGTACATATGCATCTCTCCTTGTTGTTATCATTACAATTACTGGTTTTGTTCTTTTCTTTTCCTTCCCTGTCGAGAGTAGCAGGTCAGAGAATATTAGCTCAGGCCAACTTCTCTGCCTTCCTCTAAAAATCCATCTTTCTCTCTCGCCCACGTTGCCTACAGCAGAGTCATACATGCTGGAGTATGAACATGCAATGCAATATCTCAGTGAAAACCCTCCATTTTTATATATTTTGTGATGCATTACCACTGCTTAACTAAGCCAGAGTGGGACACTAGAAGCTTGCTAAGAATGTATCTTTAGGCCCATAGACATTACAGTAGAAAATTTGAGAGCACTTTGTCAACTTGACTCTAAACTATGTCTGCCTGATTGTATTTGTGGAAGCTTCACGTTTTGGGAAAGCTTTGAGCCTGACTGCTGGGACGTACATGTATACAAGGTGCCTATATTAGCTGCATAAAGCACACTACAGCTGTAAAAATAGTTTTAGAACATTTGACTCATTTCATTCATCGATAATGACTTTACACTCGTGAATTTACAGCTCTGCATATAGACCGATTTTCACAAAGTCAGTTTGGCCACTGCAAGGAGTTACACATTATTAATAATTGTCAGGGTTTCAGATCCTAAAACCATGTCGATCAAGAAACAAGCGGTACTGGAGGGCTCGGGAAATTTCAACCACTTGGAGTTCTTCGACATGCACCTGAATCCAAACACATGGGCCTCCAGCATTTCACTTCCATATAAATGCATAAATGCAACTGCCGAGAACAGGATTCGATCCAACCACTTTTGAGTCGGCAACCAAGCCCCACGACTGATAGACAGTGGGAGAAAGAGTTCTTAATTGAAAAGCCTCATTGAGGAAAGATGCTGATAACGTTTTCTTGTATTATGCCATGCAGAGAAGCAAAGCAAAACCCATAAAACTATCTTCTTTTCTTGGCTTATCGGGTTCAACATTAGGTGTGCCCAGGATAATCACATGATGTAGGCAATACCGCTTTAATCTCCATTTCCTACCAAACACATGATTCGGCAGAGACTGAGGCTGTTGCGAATGGGAAGGAAAATGAGCTTGCAACTGATTTTATTTAAAGGCCAACTACGGTGATCTCTTTAGGTCAATGGATCTCAATAAAATTCGCTGGGTAGGTTCCTTTGCACATTTCCGTCATTTATGCCAAATTACAGGCTTCAGAAATGCACTGATTGTTTGCAAATTATATTATAGATTGCCTAGAAAACCTCACCTCGCTTGCCAGAATTATTCGCAACACTGTCTGTGTGACGTCGTGTTTGGTATGTCAACAGAAGTGACGCAGCCAATAGCATCGCTACTTTCACCTCTACAGCGTTTATTGAGCTGGCCACAAAGCGACGGCGGCGGTTTTTCGCACGGGTATAGCATGGGAAAGTTTTCTTCCTTCCTCTGCGGTGTTTGGCCGGCGCTTCGCTAGTCTGGCTTTCACAGTTTTCATACTACGTGCCGCCGAGACCAGTATATGACCTCCTGTTCTTACCAAATAGTACGTCATATGCAGACAGGGTGCCCAGTATTACACTTTTTTGCTCATTAAAAATCATTTTTTCGAATTTCCTGAGTATTTCAGCTATTCGGCTCCTGACAAGAGTGCCTAAGGAACATAGAAACACCATTATTTGACACGGTTGAAAAATCGCAGGAGTTGGCCTATAAGTAAGCATGCCTATCCCACCGTTGCAGCTGGGCTGTTTTTTGGCTTGGCAACAGTGGGAGGCACCAATGTTGACTGTTAATAAAACGAACCAGCAGCAAGACAAAAGGCTGAGTGTGCTTCATCCCACTTAATATACGACATAGCTAATCTAAGCAATTGTGTTTAAAACAATACCTATAGAAGCACTTCGACAGAATCATCATTTGGCCATTAGCAATAGAGTTTATATCGATATCTCTACTTCATAAGCAAAATGAATAGGTCACACCATAAAATGTAATCAAGTAGTGCTTTACAAACTGAAGTGACGTGCGATTAGAATCCCTGGTATCTCTTGTGACAGTCCACTGTTATGCATGTTAGCCTATAAATCTATATTTTTCATTGTGCGTGATATTGGGGTTTGAGGCCTTACAAATAAAGCCATAGCTTTTGTGACAGACCACTGTTAGGCACGTAAACCTATCTATATTCCTCATTGTGCCTGAAATGGCGGTTGGTGGCCTTACGGATATATATAGTGCCATATACAGCATTGTTCTGGTGTTGACACATGCAATAACCGAGCGATAAAGATCTGCTCTCAAGTACAAAGCTAGCTAGGGCACACGAAAATGATGTGGTATGCTATGCTCTTCCTTTTTTTTATTACAAAAAAAAACATTTCTATGTGTAAGGAAACACGCCTGAGAAATGGCGGTTGGTGGCCTTACCTCCCGTGACCAAATACAGTTAAATAATGTTTTTTCTTCTTTCCGTACCTGGAGCTCAACGTAGCAAATGGCACTAAACCTTAACAAAACGGTAAGCATGACATTCACAAACAAGAAGGAACCCCTACGTTTTTCCTATGGCCAGAACATGAAGCATGTCAACGAATACAAGTACCTTGGCGTAACATTCTCACCGAACTTAAAATGGCATAAACATATAAACCTAATCTGCTCGAAAGCGCTCCGAAAATTGGGCTTCTTGAAGCGAACGTTAAAAGATGCAACTCACGAATGCAAACTAACAGCATACAAATCCCTGATACGGCCTGTTCTTGAATACGCCTCCGTTGTCTGGTCACCTCACTGCGCATGCGACATAGCACACTTGGAAGGTGTTCAAAAAAAAGCAATAAGATTCATATATCACCGTTATGATCACAATTTTTCGCCTTCGTCACACACTGTACGTCTATCACTCAAATCACTTGAACACAGACGTACTTGCGAGCGTATTGGCACTTTACATAAAATCGTGAACAAGATAATCACCATTGACATGCCCTTTTCCTTTGCCAACTCCGTTGCAAACACTCGCAGGTCAAACCCCATTAATATCACACCCTTCATGCCATTTCTAGATTGTTTTAAGTTTTCATTTTTTCCTTTCACAGTGGAATTGTGGAATAATCTGGATGTTTCTCTCCGAAAGTTGCCTACCAATAGTTTTTTGAATGAACTACCAAACCATGTGTTTTGTTAGTTTAGTGTGTATTCACTGTTATGGACCCACTCCTGCAATGTCTCGAACTGCGAGACAGCAGTATTTGTAAATAAATAAAATAAATAAATAAAAAAATATATTTGCTTGTTTTACTGTTCACAAAATAATTTTAATAATTTAGCGATAACACACTTTTCGAGGGACATTTCTGAAGTGTCCATGCGGACCTTTCTGGAATGACCCTGATGCACTATCAACCTATTATCTTGGAGATAATGCCCAGTAGATCACAATGGGTCGTCCCGGCTGGGATGGCCCAGAAAACGTGAGACCGCGGACAGGTTCAATCATGTTTTCCTCTTCTCATTCTTAGAAAGTGCTAAGCGTTCCTCCAAATTTTTCAATCAGGAGGATAGTTGGAGTAGGGCCACAAAATCGCAACAGGAACGTCCTTGATTGATATGTGGGGTTTAACGTCCCAAAACCACCATATGAAACAGGAACGGCCTTAGAGCGTGCCTTGGATGCATGCGTGGGTCGTCGCTAGGCACGTGGCTTTACCGAACAAACACAATCGTACACTATTCTGGCTTTACGGACTTCAATCAACGTTTCAGCGGCAGCTTCCACTCACCTGACAACTTGCCCCAGCTGTAGCAAGTGGAAGGCAGTTCTCACAAACCACTGCAACTTGGACGGGTGCTTGCCGTGCTGCTTGAGATCGAGTAGATACCATCTAAAGCTAAAGCCCATCATGATGGTCGCGGGCACCATAATAAAGGCGACAGTCAGGCCGAAATACCAGTAACTGCCGTCATTGTAGTGTCGGTAGGCGACCCAGATGTCCGAACCAGTGTCGAAGAGAAAGCTGCCTACCGAGCAAATCACGCACAGACCGTCCAGAATGGTGTACTTGCGCTGCTTGAAAGCCGTGCGCACTGACGGTTTGATCACCTTGGGCGGCTCGCAGTTGCAATTGGAGCCGTTGGCAATCGGGCCGGACGAGACAACGTCCTTCTTTTCCGAAGCTGACATCGCTCCGTGTTTCAGCGATTATTGCCATTAGAACCGCGGCGACGATATAACGCCAATGCAACCAGTTCTTTAATCGTGCCACTCACAAGCGCGACGGAGCGTCAGACCGCACATAATGACCCAGTGGCAAGCACGGGCAAAGGCTCGGCGCTCACAGCGGGTCATCTAACAACAACGCGACACTGTACACCGCACATCAGCAAGCACACACATCCTTTTCGTCCTCGGCTGAGCGTGACGTTTGACCGGAGCAGCTTGTGACGTACCCCCCCAGGGATCCGCAAGAGCCAGCAACAAAGCTGTCCTCTCCCTCTCCGACTGCTTTTTATAACACCGCTCGATCCACGCCTGTTGCGCTGTGGAGAGGCCCTCTCTTTTGTTCTCTTCACGCCTCACTGCCTCAGCGACAGTTGACTGATGGGCCAGGTACGACTCGCCGATCACATTGAACTGCCAGACCGGACCACGGAATGCGAAGTGAGCGGCTGCTGCGACAAGGACGTCTACTTTGGATGTGTGTTTCTCCGTGACAGTTTTTGTTTCGGTTTCTCCGCATTCCGCATCTCTATCCGGCTATCCTAGATACTCGCCGGGCGTGCGCGCTCCACTGATAACAAGCCCCACGCACAGCACGTACTAGTGAAGCTCGGACAAGCTTTCGCAATGCGACAAAACGTGTAGTCGATTTCGCGTCCTAACCACCACACTGCAAAACCCTACATCAGCAGAGCCGGCGGAGGAAAGGAACTGGAGCAAACGGTTGGCCTCCGACACCGGAAGTACAATCACCTTGCACTTCCTCGGCGAGAGATGACCGCTGGCTGGCCGACGCTCATACCGTGGCGACTGCGAGGTAAACAAACCCGTTCGCTCGCGTCCCCGCACCACCCGATTCTTTGATCGGGAGTGGTCGCTCCGATCGGATCGGCACGTCGCTATGCCGGCCGCGACGGCGCCGAGCTCGCCGAACGGCGGTGCGTACTCGCCGCCGGTCGCAGCGGTGAAAATGGACGGCTTCAGGACGATGGACGACGAAGTGGACGCGATCTCAGATTCCCTCCCCTTCAATGCATGGGACAAACTGGTGCTCCTCTTCTCCGTGACGACCGCGATCGTGGACGTCTTCACCGACGCCTGGGTGGCGCACAGGTACTGGCAGCAGGGCCAGCGGGTCTACTTCGGCCTGACGATCGCGCTCATCTTCGTGCCCTCCTGGATCGTCACATGGATTAGCCTCAGGTGGTGCCTCATCCAGAAGCGCCACCCCGAGTACGACGAGTTCAGGCTGCGGACGAAGCTGGCCGTCGTCCTTCACGTCTTCCAGCTCGCCATCGTGTACAGGTATGCAGTACCACAAAGGCATTACAGTAGTACGTACTGCGTGATTCAACACGCGCGTCCCTGGATCGCTGCGCTTACCACAACGCAAGACGCACGTGCGTTCATCTTTTGTACGCCCTTGCAATCTTTTCTACTCACTATTTAAAGTCGACTACGTCTCATCAATTAATACTTGTAATGAGTTGATATTCTATGATTTACAATACAGTGAAGTAACTACTACACCATGCCAGATCCTAGACCGCAATCTTAAAACATTTTACAGTATATATTGAAGTGAATAACATACTGACAACTAACCAGCGTAAGTTTGGACTCGTTGTTCAGAGTCGAATGTCTCATCAGTGCTAGTGATACTTAGTGAACATCTAGTGATCTGCAGTACAGTACAATAGCCAATGGATCGTGAAGGGCCATAGAACATATCATTCTAACAGATCTGACAGGGTTTTGAAGTTAATAACATACTAACATCTAACCAGCGTGGGTTCTGATGTGAGATCACAACAGGTAACACAATTAAACGAAGTTGTCCACAATTACTTTTGGTTAATTGAAAGTTAGACAGATATAAGAAAAGTCTGATTGCAAGCGTCAAAGCAAAACCAGAGGCAATTATTGGCAGGCAATAATTGGCATTGGAAGCATTGCAACTAGCATTAGAAATTTCTTATTCCAGCGTTCACAGTTTGTCTTTCACAAGAAAGCATTATCTTATATTCTTTATACTAACAACTAAAACAAGCCTCATGCTCATGTAAAGTTGCTTTTTTATGTTCTTTGCATCTATTTTTTCTGTTCAATTAGATTCTACTAAGTTAAAAGATTGTTAGCTTTTGAATAGCTATGTTGTATTAGGATGAACAGCTGTTTAAATGTGCGATGCATTGCCTTCTAAACTGTTTTGCACATGTGCATATTTCCTCTTCATGTCAGTCATATAGTGGTTCCTTGAAATGAGCTGTACAATATGTGTATTCACGATATAACAATATGCTCACATGTTAAGGTCAAGGTGTAGATACTGGCAGTATTGAAAGTTAGATGCAATGATCTTCAATAGGTGGAACCGAGCGAAGTTGTTGGTCATCGAATGTGAAAAATCAATAATCTCCAAGTTTCCAAGTTAGCTCACTGCTACTTGTAGCATAATGGCTGGGTTTATACATTGTATTAGTGCTGCTACTCTGGCTTGCTAACTGATATTCACAACACCTGAATTTCTTTGTTCCTTCAATCTGTGAGCATAAACCATGAAATGTAACATACTGCAAATATGTTGTCATTGCAGATATTGCAGTGGCACACGTTTTAGGTCTTGTTTTACACACACACACTCACACACACGCGCACAAAGGATGTTTCAAGAAATGTGTCCAATATTCATTAAAAATTACAGAAAGGAGGTATCTGCGTGCTACTTGCGACATTGCCTTCCTGTGGCAGAAGACATCTTAGGATGGGTATAAACATTAATTGTGGCAGTAATTATATAATTTAACACAATTAACTTTTTAAGCAGTGGTAATAGCCAGTCGAGTGGAATTGGCGAACTCAAGCCCCTTTTTTACGAATAGTCCATAGCCACTTCGAAATTTTGGAAAAGCAGGCACTGGTAATCACCAAGGAGTGATGCGATCTGGCAAACTTAGCTGGCGAAAATGAAATTGACGCACCAATCGGCGCATCTACTATCCACTTCGAAAACGCCCTTGGTGATGACACTGTTTCTCTCGGCGTTATCAACCATCAATTTATGCCGCTTATCCACGCCCGCTTATTCTTCTCCCCCAATGCGAGGGAAACAGTATTGTCTAAGTGAATGGCAGATGCGCTGTTTGGTGCGTCGGTTTAGGTTTCGCCAGCTAAGTTGGCCAGATTGCATCACTCTGCGGTGATTACCACTGGCCACTTTTCCAAAAGTTTAAAGTGGCTATGGACTATTTGTAGGGAGGGTTTTTGTTCGCCCATTTGACTCGACTGGCTATTACCACTGATTAAAAAGTTAATTGTGTTAATTTCTATATTCATTGACATAATTGATGTTTGTACCCTTCTAAAGATGCTTTCTGCCACAGGAAGGCAACACTGCAAGTAGCATGCAGATATCTCCTTGCTGTAAGGAATATTGGACACATTTCTTGTAACACCTTGTGTATGTTTGTGTGTTTATGTGTGTGTGTATATATATCATCATCATCATCATCATCATCATCAGCCTGACTACGTCCACTGCAGGACAAAGGCCTCTCCCATGTTCCGCCAGTTAACCCGGTCCTGTGCTTGCTGCTGCCAATTTATACCCGCAAACTTCTTAATCTCATCTGCCCACCTAACCTTCTGTCTCCCCCTAACCCGCTTCCCTTCTCTGGGAATCCAGTCAGTTACCCTTAATGACCAGCGGTTATCCTGTCTACGCGCTACATGCCCTGCCCATGTCCATTTCTTCATCTTGATTTCAGCTATGATATCCTTAACCCCCGTTTGTTCCCTAATCCACTCTGCTCTCTTCTTGTCTCTTAAGGTTACACCTACCATTTTTCTTTCCATTGCTCGCTGCGTCGTCCTCAATTTAAGCTGAACCCTCTTTGTAAGTCTCCAGGTTTCTGCTCCGTAGCTAAGTACCGGCAAGATACAGCTGTTATATACCTTCCTCTTGAGGGATAGTGGCAATCTACCTGTCATAATTTGAGAGTGCTTGCCGAATGTGCTCCACCCCATTCTTATTCTTCTAGTTACTTCAATCTCGTGGTTCGGCTCTGCGGTTATTACCTGCCCTAAGTAGACATAGTCTGTTACAACTTCAAGTGCACAATTACCTATCTCGAAGCGCTGCTCCTTGCCGAGGTTGTTGTACATTACTTTCGTTTTCTGCAGATTAATTTTAAGACCCACCTTTCTGCTCTCCTTGTCTAACTCCGTAATCATGAGTTGCAATTCGTCCCCCGAGTTACTCAGCAATGCAATGTCATCGGCGAAGCGCAGGTTACTAAGGTATTCTCCATTGACTCTTATCCCTAACTGCTCCCATTCTAGGCTTCTGAAAACCTCGTGTAAGCACGCGGTAAATAGCATTGGGGAAATTGTGTCCCCCTGCCTTACACCCTTCTTGATTGGTATTCTGTTGCTTTCTTTATGAAGCACTATGGTAGCAGCTGATCCCCTGTAGATTTCTTCCAGAATGTTTATATATACTTCATCTACGCCCTGATTCCGCAGTGTTTGCATGACGGCTGATATTTCTACTGAATCAAACGCCTTCTCGTAATCTATGAAGGCTATGTATAGTGGTTGGTTATACTCTGAGCATTTCTCTATTACCTGATTGATAGTATGAATGTGGTCAATTGTTGAGTAGCCTGTTCGAAATCCTGCTTGTTCCTTTGGTTGATTGAATTCTAATGTTTTCTTTACTCTGTTAGCAATTACCTTTGTAAATAGCTTGTATACTACAGAGAGCAAGCTGATCGGCCTGTAATTCTTCAAGTCCTTGTTATCTCCTTTCTTATGTATTAAGATGATGTTAGCGTTCTTCCAAGACTCTGGTACTCTTCCCGTCAGGAGACACCTCGTAAACAGGGTGGCTAGTTTTTCTAACACAATCTGTCCTCCATCTTTCAGCAAATCTGATGTTACCTGATCCTCACCAGCAGCTTTGCCCCTTTGCATGCTCTCCAAAGCTTTTCTGACTTCTTCTATCATTATTGGTGGGGTGTAATCTGGGTTACTGCTAGTTCTTATAGTATTAAGGTCGTGGTTGTCTCGGCTACTGTACAGATCTCTGTAAAACTCCTCCGCTATTTTAACTATCCTATCCATATTGGTAGTTATTTTGCCTTCTTTGTCCCTTAGTGCATACATCCGACTTTTGCCTATCCCAAGTTTCCTCTTCAATGCTTTGACACTTCCTCCGTTTTTCAGAGCGTGTTCAATTCTCTCCATGTTATACCTTCTTACATCGCATACCTTACGTCTATTAATCAACTTCGAAAGCTCTGCCAGTTCTATTTTGTCTATTGTACTTGACACTTTCATGATTTGACGCTTCTTAATTAGGTTCTTCGTTTCTTGGGAAAGCTTGCCAGTGTCCTGTCTAACTACCCGGCCTCCAACTTCCACTGCACACTCCGTAATGATACTCGTCAGATTATCATTCATTGTATCTACGCTAAGGTTGGTTTCCTCACTAAGAGCCGAATACCTGTTCTGCAGCGACACTCTGAATTCCTGTACTTTCCCTCTCAGTGCTAGCTGATTGATTGGCTTCTTGCGTATCAGTTTCTGTCGTTCCTTCTTCAAGTCTAGACGAATTCGAGACCGTACCATTCTATGGTCACTGCATCGTACCTTGCCAATCACTTCCACATCCTTAACGATTCCAGGGTGTGCACTCATTATAAAGTCTATTTCGTTCTTATTTTCGCCATTAGGGCTCCTCCATGTCCACTTGCGGTTTTCTCGTTTTCGGTAGAAGGTATTCAAAATCCGTAAATTATTGCGTTCTGCGAATTCTACTAGTAGCTCTCCTCTGGCGTTTCTAGTACCGATGCCATAATCTCCTACTGCCTGGTCTCCAGCCTGCTTCTTCCCTACCTTTGCATTAAAGTCGCCCATCACCATAGTATACTGTGTTTTTACCTTACTCATTGCCGATTCCACGTCTTCATAGAAGCTTTCAACTGAAGCGTCATCATGGCTGGATGTAGGCGCGTAAGCCTGTACTACCTTCAATTTGTATCTTTTATTCAGTTTAATTACAATACCTGCCACCCTTTCATTAATGCTATAGTATTCCTCTATGTTGCCAGCTATGTTTCTGTGAATTAGGAGCCCCACTCCCAGTTCTCTTCTGTCTGCCAAGCCCCTGTAGCAAAGGACGTGCCCATTCTGTAGCACCGTATAGGCCTCATCTGTCCTCCTAACCTCACTGAGCCCTATTATATCCCATTTAACACCCTCTAGCTCCTCGAATAGTACAGCTAGACTTCCCTGACTAGATAAGGTTCTAGCGTTAAACGTTGCCAAGTTCAGGTTCCAATGGCGGCCTGTCCGAATCCAGAGATTCTTAGCACCCTCTGCTGCGTTGCAGATCTGACCGCCGCCGTGGTCAGTTGCTTCGCAGCTGCTGGGGACTGAGGGCCGTGAGTTATTTGACGTAAGCATGTGGGAGGTAGTGGCCAGATACTGCACCAGGGTGGCCAATCCTTCTCTGGTGAGGGAGTGCGTTCTCCGTGGTGTTTGCCGGTGAGGCCGCACCCCAGGCCTCCTAATGCAGTTCCATCAACACGCGGATTTTTTTTTTGTTTTTTTTTTTAATCCGGTTGGGAACTGCGCGGTACCGGGATTTGAACCACGGACCTCTTGCATGCGAGGCGGATGCTCTAACCACTACGCCATCGCTGCTAACTACTGCTCTAACCACTACGCCATCGCTGCTAACTACCTAACTATATATATATATATATATATATATATATATATATATATATATATATATATATATATATATATATATATATATATATATGAGATATGGCACAACGGGAGCGTTGTCAACAAGGATAAATATATTTATTTCCCAACAGTTTCGGGAGGGGTCCTCCCTTCATCAGGGGATGAGTTATACTGACATGAGCTTCCAAACTTCGTTGCTGCCGCGTCCCTCTTGCCTTGAAAAATGTTTGCGAGAGTGAGAGGGAACTAGAAAAAGGAAAAAAAAAACAAAAAAGGGGGAGAAGAAAGACGAAAAAGAAAGAAAAGAAAGAAAGTAAAAAAGAGGAAGAACCACTGTCAACACTGAGAACGAAGCCAACTGTCCGTCTACATCCACATACGGTTCATATCACGTGCTGTTCAGTTCAGGGAAACGGACGAAGATTAAAGGTAAATAGCCGACCGACCCATTAACGGGAATTCCTTCTTTACGCACGCCGCCCGCCGACCGACCCATTACGGGGAAACCCCTTTCTTTATGCACGCCGTCACGGACCCTCCCGGCATCGCGGCGACAATCTTGGGTGGCCCGACACACGCTAAGAACTGAACAGCACGTGATATCCCCTCACGAAACTGTTGGGAAATAAATATATTTATCCTTGTTGACAACGCTCCCGTTGTGCCATATCTCATACCTTCACGAAGACTAACTGGCCCATTGAATTATTACTCCCACTATATATATATATATATATATATAAACAATAAATGACATCGAAATGAAGCATGGCCAAACTTAGTTTATATTGGTCCATTACAGCTGATGATTCACTAGTCTTCATTATATAGACGCTCAGCTGTACATGTAAACTGCTGGTGCATGTAGTTCAGTAAACGTGCCTTTTTTGTATGCTGTTTGGTTTTTCGTGTAGCTGACAGGCGACAAATATGCAAAGTAGTTTGATAAACGTTTTGCATATACAGTTTATTTCTTCATTACGTGGCAGGTACCTGAGTGCACTGATCTTTGGCTGCAAGAGCCAAGACAAGTCGCGCACAAAGACAGATCGTCGCATCTACTATCAGCTGATGCTGTGGGAGGACAACGATGCTTCCATTCTGCGATTGGTCGAGTCCTTCCTCGAGTCAGTGCCACAGCTCTTGCTCCAGGCCTACGTGCTCCTCACCACACCGGACCAGGCACAGTCGTTGGGTGGGTGTTGTTTTCTTTCTAAATGACTGAGCACGCAAACGCAGACACCAGAGAGAGGTGAAGACACCACAGACGCCAACTAACGGCTGCAATAGGGCACAACGGTGCAAAAGAAAGAAGGCATAAAAGCTCATCTGTACGTGCCCATGCAATAGGCAGACCTATTAGTCCGGCATGCGTGATGGTCTACGTGGGAAATAACTAGTCAGGGACTTGATTGATTGATTATGCAAGTTAGCAGTGGACTTACGTACAGACTACCACTGTTATAGATATGCCATGCCTCAACCATTAGACACGCTTCGTCATTCTGGTGCCTGTACGAAACTGTGCATTAGTCGAATATTGGCGTGTACTTACAATCTTGACAACGTAAAAATAACTTATAAAACAAGTCCCCGTTTAGAGATCTCTGAAGTTCCAATAAACTATAGTTAACACTGCAGCCAGTCTGGCCCATGTAGAAGCGGCTGCAGCTGAAAGGAACGTCATACACCACATCTGCTTGGCAGTCAGCGAATTTGTTGACAAAACAAATGTACTAAAAATTTGCCCACCTTTATAAAAAATTTTCGGATATAACAAACTTACTTTCGTGTAAGATGTAGCTTTGTTATAGTGAGGTTTGAGTTTACCTTACTCTCTACAGCCACACAAATGCCGCCTGAACGCAGCATTTGGTGCGACTGTAGAGAGGAACGTCAAGGCTCAGGAGCAAGGTAAGAGTGTTTGTATTGTAAGAAGGAGGAAGAGAATTGAAAGAGGAAGGACAGGGAGGTTAGCCAGTTCTCAGACCGGCTGGCTACCCTGTATTGTAAGGTCAAGCACAAGGCCAAGGAGGTTGAAAGCGCCACTGGTGTGGTGTACGACATTCTGCTTTCATTCAGTGAGTGCTCACTGCTGACCACTTCCTACGCCTCGCAGTGCTCGCGCAGGTGGTGTCGGTGGGAGTTGGCGTCGGGTCGGTGGCCTGGTCGCTGGTGGCCTACGTGCGAACGCTGCGTTTCTCGCTCGAGGACGCGCCCAACGTCTCCTGGCTCGGCACGCTGGTCATCTGCTGCTGGCGCCTAATGGTGCTCATGCCCCGACTGACCGCCCTCGCCCTGTTCACGTCGGTATTCCAATGGGCGCTGTTCGTCGTCTGTGGCATCCGCTGGCTGCTCATGTATGCCTGGCTCATCAAGTTTGTGCGCATCGGCCAGTACAAAGGCAGGTGAGCAGCCGGGATTTGCACAGCTCGAAGGCACTTCAGCCTTTTAGTGACATAAGATATTCTAGTTCCATCAAGAAAATGCAGTTACTGAGAGGGGGCATTATAGAAATAGTGATGACAGTGGGTGCCCCCCTTTGTCTATTGCCTTCTTCTCCTTCTTTTATGTAGGGTTGACTTGAAGCATGCCAGTGGTATAGACCTTTCCACAAAAGAGAAAAAATTCTGCCATGCTGGGTGGCACATGGAAGCACAACGGCTAATGTCACAGCCTCAACAGTGCATTTTTTGGGGGTCATGTCTATTTAGAACAGCCCAAAGGAGATAAAAGCAGTGCCCTGGGGGTCATCTGTTAAAACGTCTCTATGGATGCTAGCAAAAATGTGCTTCCTTAATAAATAATTCCTCACTAATGGTGCGTGAATAGTATTTGAGCTTTCGAATATTTTTCAAGTAGTGTTTGCTGTTCCATTCGATTCGTCTTGTGGGGTCTAGAATTTGCGAGCGACACGCCACGCTCTTGGAGTGAAAGGACACGGCAGACGCTGTCAGAACAAACCAAAGTACAACACACATTTATTTAACTAATTTAGACGACGGTATCGTCCGCCGAATCAATACATCAATTGTAATTAGCACACTAGGACATCCGCACACAATATTACCATCCACCCTATGACAAACACAATAACACACCCAAGACGGCGTCGCCAAGGCTTGACCTACCACGAGGGCCCCCAACACGCGGTTCGCGGTGCCACGTGCCGAGGACCCACGCTAAAGACAACCGTTCGCAGCAACCGCCGCGCGCAGAAGAGCCTCGCTCAACTCTCGCCTGCCACCAAGGCTCGCCTTCCACCAGGGGTCACTGCCGGCGCTACTACTCTACCAACCATGATGATGATAGTGGTGCTCAACGCGAACACAACGCAATCTATCATCGATGGTTGTACCCCGAAATGCGGCTTTTGGGCGAGACACGTGCGCCGCGCGGCGCAAACTACTTTACAGGGGGTGTCAGCACCCTCACATTTTTTTTACCTTAATTCAAACCATATTAAAAAAAAAAACAGCAAATAAATCAGCTACACAAGCTCTAACAAAAAAATCACAACACATGTGTCTTCATGATGTCCGTGCACCCCGACACCGCCGCCGGTTGACACTGCTGTCACTGTGGGGCTCGACTTCACCTCAGTACCGGTCCCGCAACAGCAACGTTGCCATTGGCGCGACGAACCGTCACTAACGTCGACACGTCTTCCAGTTGCGACCAGCCCTCACGAGGGCGCCGGACTGAGAGCAGTTGCGCAGGTCCCAGGCATTTCCATCGCCCAACCTTACAACCGCATTCCTTGCCAGCGACGCTAACGCCGTGCTGAAGACAGCCGGCCGTGGATTACATCACTCCCGCTTCGTACATTCCAAAACACTCGACAGAAACCATAGAACAGGGCCTCGGGAAAAGAGCTTCGGGCTATTCGCCCACATGGTACGATGGTGATTACTGCTAGCTAATACATCGGGGCGGCCTAGACGCCCATCAAAATAAAACAAAAGTCGCTTTTACTAACTCGTGCATTGCAAGATAAAATGTGAGGGAAGCAGAGTGCGACACCTCGACGGCATGATCTTCCTGGTTGTGCCACGTGCGACAGGCGGCTGTGCAGAGCCATAGGCCTAATGAGTCGCTTGGCAACAACCGTCATCCACCCAGCCTAGGCGCAGAAGAGGCAGCTGCAAGGAGACATCCACTCTGTAAGGTGGCCATATCGCTCGCCGCACACAGCAGCCTACCGAGTGAGCGGTGTCCACTGCCGGAACGGTGTTACGACGCCCCAGCGTCGAGCCGTAATACTAGACAGCAACGACACCTGGCTCCTCGAACCCAAAGAGATTGAAGAAGCTATTTACAGAAAACCGGACCACCCACGAGGCTTGTATACTCGCTCGCTTCGGGCTTGGCCTACAATCTACATCCTCTAAGCCTTGCTCACCCCAGGATGCACACCGCATGGCTCTCATCTCAACTAAACGTTCTTGAAAACCACGACAACAACAAAAAAACATTTGCGAGCAGAAAAAAAAAACTGGAGTGCTGACTAGTTTAGACAACGATATCGTCCGCCGAATCGATACATCAATTGTAATTAGCACGCTAGGACATCCGCACACAACATTACCATTCACTCCATTACAAACACAATATCACGACAAACACAATAACACACCCAAATCGGCGTCGCCAAGGCTTGACCTACCACATGGGCCCCCAACGCGCGGCCCGCTGTGCCACGTGCTGAAGACCCACACTAAAGACAACCGTTCGTGGCAACCGCCGCGCGCAGAAAAGACTCGCTCACCTCTCGCCCGCCACCAAGGCTCGCCTTCCGCCAGGGGTCACCGCTGGCGCTACCACTCTACCAACCATGATGATGATAGTGGTGCTCAACGCGAACACTACGCCATCTATCATCGGTGGTTGTATCCCGAAATGCGGCTTTTGGGCGAGACATGTGTGCCGTGCGGGGCAAACTACATTACAGGGGGTGTCAGCACCTCCACAGTCTGGAATTTCACTATTTGAACTATTCAAACTCTTAGAAAACAAATATAGTGGTTTCATTCTCTGGAAATCAAATCACAACACTGCTAAATAATGGGCTTAAACCCAATTTTTCTCATGAGCGTTGACATGTCAAAAAGTTAATGTCTGTCATCTTATCCTGACTTTCTTTCCGACAAGGTAACTTGATCGCACCACACAAACCAGAAAGAGTGCAACTCAAAAATGCGAAGCATGGCTGCGATTGGAGCGTGCACCCAATGTTCAAAAATTAGTATACTCAGATTTAGTTAACATAATCACTACGAACAAATGGAGCGCAAATAATGCTATAAAGGAGTGGCACTTTTGGCTATGATGTACCAGAGAAAAAAAGAAGTTACGGTTTCGCCACAAGGGCAAAGCAATGAATGCGACAGCAACAACTTGGAAGCTAATGCTGAGATCGGCTAGCAGATCAAAAAGTGCAGCGCACTGCTCACGCACGAATGGTGCAGGAAAATAACACACACAAAACGAGAGCTAGCTAACAACATTTACAACTCAACGCTTAATGCACTGTTTAAACAAAAACGATGCACAAAACGTAATCACAGGTACAGATATGAGTGTGAACTTACGAGTGTTCCAGTTGTTACTTTGCTGTGTTTGAAAAGCACGCACTTTTCATAAACGGAGCCTGCCCGGCGAGCGAAGTGACCTTTGTGACCCAGGCAACTTACACAATCATTCTGGTGAAAGGCCCAAGCACACGATTCTCCCCATCGAAGGATAAGCGTGGGCGCACAAGCACCTACCCCCTGCCCCCTTTATCTGCGGGGCATAGTGCACGTGAGAGATAAACACCCATTGCGCATCGCGACGAGCTGGGTGCAGAGCACGGGCAGCTTTTTCTTTCTTGAGTTTTTATATATATATATATATATATATATATATATATATACACACACACACACACACACACACACACACACACACACACACACATATATACGGTGCATGACAGCAAGAACCAGCCGAGACTGTCCATATAATTGCGATAGCAATAATAGGGGGCTGTTTCCTGAACCGGTCGCTTGTCTGGCAGGCCTTTCTTTCACTGTGGTACTCATAGCGGCTAGCGCTAGGCGGCAGTTTCGTGAACAGAAAAGCTATTGAGGGACTATGGTAGCTCTTAAGCTGCTGCAGTACTAAAGGCTGTTGGCATGACAGTATAAAACCAAAACACCGATCACATGACTTGCAACACACGGCAGTCGTTCTTCTTTCTCTTACTTTTCGAAAAAATGTTCATTTCAGGAGCGACAAGCTTGTCTTCAAAGCGGTGCTGGCGTTTATATACATTTCCTGTTTCATCGACCTGGCTCCTGGAAACCGTCGGTTCCGTTACGCCTTCTTCTACGCGTTCACCTTCGGCGAGAATGCTCTTTTGCTCGGACTGTGGTACTACTACAAGCAGGGAAGCCCCTGGTATGAAACAGTCGCGCTCCTGGGCAGTTTCTGCAGCTTCTGTATGGGCATGGTCTTTCTGGTAAGCTTTGTCGGCTTCGCTGTTGTCTTAATTTAACCACTCTGTATCACTGCTGAGAGCGACCCAGAAGTGTTTCAGTGGGCTGGTAGTTAACACGCTTCGGTGATGTTCGCTTGCAATAATCAATGGAACACCGGATGTCATGCTAAGATTATCATGAAACCCATGCAAGGGCCCCTGTCAGCAAGTCAATATTACCGACAGAGCGGAAGGGTGGGGTTTATTTCTTAGAATGGGCATCAAAAGTCGCGAGGGTTGAAGCAAAGTTTTCATGCCAGAAAATGTGTACCAGTAGGATTGCACAGCAATTTTCTCCCTTAAGAGTTATTTTATTTGTTTTATTTTATTTTATTTTATTTATGAATACTGCAACCCTAACATAGGGTTTTGGCAGGGTGGATATACATTTGATAAGTTTACAAATCGGCAAACAAATAAATATAAAGTTAATAAAAAGAGTTGATAAAAAACAAAAAAAAGTATCATTTGACTGTAGCCTATGGCAATGAAATCAGTGCTGCATATATAGGCTTTTATGCTGATTTCAAATATGCAATTAGTTTCATAGTAAGTTGCACAGTTTTCATTTTGTGCCAGTACAAATTTTATATTATAGTTCATTTTGGGCAAACTTTTTATGCTTCAAAACTTTTATGGTTCTGAGCCATTAATGCTTCATATTGCTCCATATTAACTGTAAAATGCAAATAAGTATCAGGAAAGCGTGTATAAGACATGCTAATGGAAAAGAAAAATTGTAATGTGAGAATTCTTAGAACCCTCAGACCATACTAACTGCTTACTTTAGGTTCCTAATAATTATGCAGGTGATATCAAATTTTAAACAAGATACTTGCACTCTTCACATGTTAAAGAATATGTAGATGAATTTCATCGCAATCAGGCTTTTAGAAGTATTGAAAGCATGGTGTCCAATCTAAAAAAGTTGCCCAAAAACGGATCTTGTGAAAGACGCATTTTAAAGGTACGGGGAAAAGCTCATCTAGGGGAAAAAATAATTTTTTTTTTAAAGATGATTTCATCATTCATGCATACCTGCCAGGTCTCCCAGATTGGCCGAGAGACTCCCAGATTTCGACCGTTTCTTCAGTCTGTACGGTTGTTATGAAAATCTCCCAGAAATCGAAATTTCTGTCCGTGATCTGGCCGCATTGACAAAAAAGCAGCTCAATCCGCTCCAGGCTTTTTGAACCTACCCCATTTTATTATAATGGTACATTCGACTGGTCGTTTCCGAGCGCTCCGGAGGCTCTCAAAAATCTACGTAAAATAGCGACTAAGCACTGCCGCTAAAATATTCGGGCAAACAGACGTTCAGCAACGAAGGGCAGGACTTGCACACCTCTTTATTCTAGTTGTAGAGCCTCAAAACTGCCGAATTCGCCACTACGAAACACGGCCAGAGCACTTGAAAACGACCACCCGAATGTGCCGTAAATGAGTTTAAAAGGTGTTCATCTAAACCAGTGGTTCTCAAATGGGGGTCCGCGAAGCCATTTCTATGATCCGCGAAACCCTCACCGCATTTTTCTTTAGGCGTGAGTGTGCCACGTATTGATGAACTGTCCAAAATGAAGTGACGTGGCGAGTTTATGTGATGTTTTTTTGGTAGCAATAAAAAGTAGGCTTGTGCGAATATCCGAATAATAATGTTCAAATGAATAGTGAGTATTCACTTCAATTCCTTAAACTTAAACCTTAAACTTAATGCATACAAAACTCTAATTATACCATGTTTAGAGTACGCCAATCTCATCTGGAGTCCACATCAAAAGCACCTCATTAATAAAATAGAAAGAATAAAAAAATTGGCAGTTAGATTTGTATATTCAGATTTCTCGAGGCAATTCAGTTCTGCAGGCTTGCTCACAAGGGCAAACTTAAAGCCTCTTTCGCAACGCAGAATTATCTCGCGACTAAAATTTCTTTACCATTTATATCATGGTCAATTCCCCATATCGCGATCTCATTACCTGCCAGACCCGCCCAAACACTCATCACGACTGAACCATTCCAAAACTATCCACCAACCTTTCAGTCGTGTTAACGCTCACAAACATTGCCTTTTTTCGTCAGCTATCCACCATTGGAATTGACTAGACAACAATATTGTGTGCTGTAACACTATTCAATCATTTATGAACTTAATACAGTGTGTCCATTTTGAATTATGAGCTGTTTGACATTATATCTTCTTTTTTGTTCTTCCGGTATGTATTTTCTTTCGATGCTTAGTATGTATCTTCTTGTCTCCACTCCTGCATGGGCCGTGAAAAGCCTGCAGTATGTTCAAATAAAAAAAGTTTAAATTTAAATGATTGAAAATTTTGAAGTATTCGCAATGAACGAATAGGTGTATATTAATCCGCTTGTAACGGCTCGTAAAGGTGGTTTTGCTGCAGTGTTGCAGTGCTAAGCCGTTAACGCTCCTAACCAGGGGAAATGCGCTGTTCGCCGCAAAGCCCCTCTGCAAATTTAAAGGGACCCTGCAACACTTTTTGAGCATAGTCAGAAAACGCTCCCGATCGGTAGTCGAGGCTTCCGAGAACACCCGAGTCAAATATATGGCACAGCACGCGACCTGCGATTCACAGTAAATTCTCAAAGCCAGCTGAAAATTGCTCTCTTCTTTCGGCAAATGAGACCATGAGCTCAAAAATCACTCATCAGAGCTATTGCATCAGCCATTGGCTGGTTTAAGATGGCACGCTCAGTCGTCACTGGAGCCGCAGTGGGAGGCCGCGACATGTTCAGGCCTGCGGGCGCGATCACACTGAAAAGCCGCATATTCTAGGAAAAGAGAAAAAAAAAAAGAGGTGCTCAAGGTCACGAGGTGCGTATGACGTATTTTCTTTTGCCATGCCACTCCTTCCTGCTTAGCTTCCAGTTATTTTATCAGGATGAAAAGAGAGAATTAAATTGCAGCGTGCGACTAATTTTTGGAACTCTGCCGCTCGTACTAGACTGTTTCTAAAAATTTTGCAGCGGTAAATTTGCGAGGCAACAAGCTTCTTTACTGGCCCCATGGCTACTTGAAAAAGGGTTGCAGGGCCCCTTTAAATGAAGATGTTACCCTCAAATCAATTAATCTTTTTATTAAGCTTAAAAGCTTGTTATGACAACTTATATGTTCTAAGTATAATAAAATTTAAGATGTTTACTATTTTACAGGTTATCACTCGCATCCTACCGAAACTAATATCTTGCTACTACTCAAAGTTGTTTCGACTTCCTGTGAACGAAAAAAAAATGACATTTGCATAGAGGCTTTATTTCAATATAAAAATATATTGTGCTGGTTAGTCAGGTCATGATAAATATGCCCATTTTTTTGTATATCATATATGCTATTCAAATTTGATTCAAGATTATTAGACTAAAAGCACTATTCGCTTCGAATTCTTTTCTAACCTAAAATTCACTATTTGCACAAGCCTAATAAAAGGTACCTGTTTCGCGCTCCAGTTGTGTTAATTTACCTACGTACCCCCCCCTTCCTCTTCCTCCGTACGCTCTGCTGCAAGGGGTCTTTCATCACTTCCACCAGTCCCCAAAGGGTCCTCGACACATCATGGGCTGAGAACCACTGATCTAAACGTGCAGTATAATCTCAGTGATGCGAAACCCCGGCAGGTACGAATTCTTGAAATTCCCCAGCCAAATTCCACTATGTTCATTGGGCCTCAATTCAAATATTCTGAACACATTTCCTAATCACAGTGGGTGATACGAACTTTAGTACGGAAACCGTCGAACGAAGGCCAAGAGCAGCGTACTCGAAGCTATAGAGGTACGCATGCGACCGGCGCACGCACTGTCTTCTACAATGCTTGTGATTGTCATTGCCACAACCGCTCTGGACGAAACTGCGGTCGCTCTTGACACAATCATGTATGGCGACGACGTAACTGACAAAACCCCGAGAGTGTGCGCTCAACCAGGCAAAGCAACGCTGCTTTCCGCAAACTCTGCGGACAGAACTGTGGCAGATGCTATCATAGATGGCATAAAACAACTTAGTTTTGAAGGCACATGCGCATCCAAGTGCACGGAGTTTGTAAAATGAACTACCTTTTGCCGCAACCACAGCGCACAAAACTACGATTACAACGACGCGATAGCGATCTACGAGCTCTGAGGGCACGCAGCAGTAGGTTAAACGCAGTAAATACGTAAAAAATGAAAAAAACTTCTAGTTTTGCCACAAGGGTGAAGCAATGAATGCGACAGCAACAACTTGGAATGTAACACTGAGAACGACAAGCAGATCGAAACGTGCAGCGCACTGCTAACACACAAATGACGCACGAAACGCAGGACGAGAGTGAACAAACAACGTTTATTGCTCGACATGTAACGCGCTGTTTAAACAAAAACGATGCACGATACGTAATCACAGGTACAGATGAGTACAAACTAACAAGTGTCCCAGTTGTTATACCTCACTGTGTGCAGAGACCGAAGTGACTTTTGTGGGCCCGGCAACTAACGCAATCGTTTCAATGAAAGCCGAAGGCACACGATTTTCCCCACCAAAGGATAAGGATAAGGAGGTACTGGCGATATGGACCTTACACCAAACAGTTTCGATATCTGGAGGTGACTACAGTACAAAAAAACTCAAATCAGACCTCAAGAAGATGGCCGCGCCTCCACCACGACCATGTTGTCTATCAGCACGAACAACAACGAACCCTGGGAGAGTAACTTCAGAGTCATAAATGTCAGCGCGAAGCCAAGTTTCCGTGACGCCAATAATGTGGGGACAATAAGTTGCAAGCCAGTGTATAAAATCACGAAGTTTATTATTGAGACTTCTGGCATTAATATTCAGGAGGCAGATATTATCTTGTGCCTCATGATGTGGTCATTTCGTACGATTAGATGAAACATTAGAGCTCTCAATAGACTGTTTCGAGGACTTCAGTAGTGAATTGGAAGTGCAATTCATATCGTTCACTATCAACATTTACATGGTCATACCCAAATGTAGAATGGAACCGTTGTTCCTGAAAGAAGCAGTAGCATTCCATAATTTCTGACGAATTAACCGTACATGCTCCGAGAAGCCTTCAGTTATCCGCAGTTTGGAACCCAAAATGTGTCTGGCCCCTTTTTATTACGATAGCAATAAACAGGGGCCAGAAGCGTTTTGGCGTTCCTGTCAAAAGAATCTAGTAGTGAGCAAAGCATTGACCCGAGCTTTTGGGGCAGCCAGCTGCGCTGTCCCGTCCGTTCTCATGTGTCCCAGGAAGACACACACGAGTTGTTTTGGCCTAAATAGATTCTGCTAGTTGTGTCGATCCTTCGAGACTCTCACCTTAGTGAAAAACCCTACCTTCGTGTTCCTCATGCGAAATGCAATGGCAAGCAGCCAGGTTACAATTTACAGGAGACTGTGGACATGAAGCACTTCTTAGTTTTTGTCGCCACCTTTCACCATTAAAAAGTGTTTTTGACCTACTTCGAGCTTAATTACAATCTTCAGTTTCTTGTAATCAAAGTAGAGAAACTAAACTTGTGAAAGTACATAAACACAAAAAATATGTAATTTTAGAAAAAAAGCTTGTTTTTCGACTCGCTGATATCTCACAAATACAAGAAACAAGAAAGTGCGTGACTTGAAAGTGCATAGTAGCGCAAGGCTGGAACCGGCTGTGGAGCTAGTGTTCGAACTAGCAAATTTTTGCTAGTAGTGCCAGGCTTTTGGTGGAGATGCCAGATTTTTGCTAGTACCAGTACTTAGTGTGGCTGTACTTTCCTATTCTTTTCTGTTTTCGATCAAATCACCAAACTGTGCTTGTCATGGTGCAAGTTCTGCATCAATTTCACCACGCTGCACCAAACTGCTTCTGCTACGCCATCCTGCTCCAGAACGCATTATTGCGCCGAAACTGCCCCCACGGGGCCTTTGGTGCCTTCATGTGCTGTCATCGGAGAAGTGGTGAGCCGAAGTGAGCTCCCATCGTCACCATTACCCGATGCGCCATCTGTGACATTGGTGACGGCACAAAACAAGCAGTCTCGCCTCAAGAGCAGAGTGAATGCAACAATTTTGAGTGTTGTATGAAGCAAGGCTATCCGCTAGCTCTTTTGGGTCCGATGTCACGTACCTAAGGTAACAACCATCAGTTAAGTAATTAGATAATACAGTGAATTTTAAGGTATTCCTTTTGAATTTCGCCCGAGCATAAAAGTCAAAGAGACGCGCTGAAATTCAAGTAACTCTTGGGGCTGTAAGGGGAATAAGGCGAGGCGTGTAAGGGAATATGGCTTCTTCATGGAGCGAATCGGTTTTCGTACTCTGTAATCTCAACACAAAGTAAGCGGGCCGTTTGCTGATGTCTGCCAAGGTAGTGCACATGTAAGTGCCAGCAACCACGTCTCTATGGTAAAAGTTCCAAGTTGCTGCTCTAACGACGCAGCCTTTGCCCACGCCTCTTTGCCCAACGAAACACAGGCGGAGCTTTTCCTCTCTGCTTGAAGAGCCATCGACAGCATGCCACGTACATAGGATGACATTATAGCATGCACCTTTCGTGAAACGCAAATGGCCGGCTCATTTTATCTGTCTCTGCCGCGATCGTCACCAGCGATTGCGCGCTCATGCTTCAAAATTTTGACGGCTTAACAGGACTGCCAGAAGCCTCATAGAGCCAATGTATTACATCTGAAGTTTTTTTACGCCGTAAGCCTTACGAGTCTAAACTTTTTATCAAATTGTGAGCCCGAAAATTCATTAACAATACCACCGCCACTCCCACGCTTTAGTGCATTTTGAAAGTCAGCTTTGCTGCAATACTTCAACATCGCTGGTGAAGCATATCGAAAATCCTGGGGTTGTGGGGTCGTGCTAAGGTTGTGGGCGGGAGTTGAGTAGCTCAAATTTCTCATGTTTCTTTTCAAGAATGTTGCGTTCCATTAACTTTTGGCACAGATACCCAACTGCCAAAATTTATTGTTGTAACTGATAATGCGACATGCGGATGTTGTTCTAAATAGGTTATTTCACCATAAAAAACATACAAAAGTTGATGGGGCGCACCTTCACATTGTTATAAGCGATATATTGTTAAAACCGATACCATTATTTGTGGGTCGACTCTGTATACATGTGTGTGCATGTGTGTGTGTGTGTGTAAATATATCTATATATTTTTGGGGGGTTGGGTAAGTGTGGTTGTTTCATTAGTATTGAATATTTACTAAAAACCACTGGAACTTCATGCTTCCCAGAAATAAAAAAAATTGAACTAACAGTTTGTCTGAAGCCAGCAATACACTCCAAAACTAACTTGCATTGCTCCCAAACACACCCTTTGATGCTCCAAAGCTGCTCCAAACCTCCCTTTTACCGCTCCAAAACAGTGCTATACCTGTTCTCAGAGCTGCTCCTGAAACGCTTGAACCTGCTTCCACCCCTGACATGTCATGTGACTAGTTATGTGATGTTATGTCTTTTTGTCACGTGGTGAGGGTTACGTGATGCTACGTGATTTTATGCACAGGATTAGGGTTACGTGATGTTACGTTAGCTTAGCCACGTAACTAGACTATTACATGGTATGTAATAAGAACATGCGATGTGATAGCAGTCACTTGGTTAATAGAAGGAACACGTCACGTGACTGGTATGTTACATAATGTTTAACGATTGCTAGTTGTGCAGTTGTACAAGTAGTTGCGGGATGTTACGTGATATTTAGTTGCATGCCTAAACGTTAACGTAATTTTATGTGATTTTAGTCACGCGACTTGCTCAGAATTTTCCGGTAATCTTAGTAGGTTCAATCTCTCAATGTCCCTTTATCGCAGGTCGTTTACTACCTTCTGCTGCACCCAAATGCTTCAAGCATTGTGCAACCGGAAATGCAAGATGCAAACACCCGCATCGGCTACACATCCGACGGGCTGGAGGACTCACCGGTGGACACGCCAAATGCGGAGCACAGATCACCACCCCGCGTCCGCCTCGCCGATGTTGTTCCCAATGGCGACTCGTCTGAGACGTCTTTCTTCGAAAGCGGGGACTCCCCGTGCTCTGTTCCGGGATTCAAGGTGACAGCTGTCTGACACAGGGCCCAGCCCTCCGAAGGGGGAAGAGGAAGCGACAACTCTGCAATGCCCTCGTACCCGCTGCACATTTCTCATGCGAGCGAGTCCAGTCGAGTGGCAATGAACTTTGCAGACATGCTCTGAAATCGTGAGTTCACGATGTCTGGTGTTGAACGTAGAACAGAAAAGTGTTTCGACTCGCCCGTCAAGTGAGATACAGGTTGAAGCCTTGTGGAACAAGTGAGAAAGTTAAGAAAGCACAGAGGTGCGCCAAGCGAGATGTATTGATATTTGTTGATGAGATTATTGGCTGTGCTCTCAAAACTGGCCTGGGCTAGAGATTGGGATTGCTTGTGAATGAATAAGCTGCGAGTGTAACTCGAATCTAGACATTGAGCCGAGGAAAGAGAGATTCCAGTTAGGTAATATAGAAGGAGAGAACGACACCCACAATGCCTTTGTCATTTGTAAGTTAGTAGTTAGATGCTGCGCTGATCCCTCGCAAACGTGGTTCAAACTGAAGGCCAGCCTTGCCCATTACTTTAATCATTGAAGGTGGTGCAACGAAGAAAAATTGTGAGTACATGGCCTAGTAGCTACGAAGAAGGTTAGAAACTCTGCTCAACTACAAAGTTGTAGGGTTGTCCACCGAGTCAGCAAGCATTAGAAGTGCTAATACTGCACACTGTTTGTGAGACTGCATGGCCACTCACGAGAAACTTTCGCCCGTGCCGATACGTACCAACTGTCAACAGCCAATGTTGACTTGTCAGATTACAGGGAAATAATATAACCAGTGCTGAAAATACAGGCTTGTTCACCTGATGTAGCACTCACTTTGGCTGCAGCCACACTGACGATATAAAAATGATAAGCCTCCATTTCCAGATAATTTTTTATTAACATTGGAGTATTATATTTAGAATCTATGATGGCATCCTGGTAGGAACCGTAGTTAAAGTGGTTTTTCTTGCAAGTTTCTTGCAACCACTCGATTGATTCCAATTCTTGACCTGGGGTTGAGCTCAACCAATTTTATCTAGAAGATCAGGAGGACATCGCTTATCTATTACAAACTTATTTGTGTTGCTACCTGTGATGTGTGGTATAGTTCCAAGGTGACAAGTGCAGAAGTGGACTGGGTTACTTTTTCTTCTGAACTGTGGTTTATACCTAGCTGAAAGTGTTAGTGTGACATATACAGTGTGCTTTCAAGAGTAGTCACAGACTTTGTTATTATATAGCTAAATGGCTCTGCATGCAACATTGGTCTTGTGCGTCAAAAAGGATACCAGGGTACTATTTGCTTGCAAGGATAACAGCGCCAAACAGTTAGATTTAGCTTGGACTGGCAGCTTGATGCGTTTGAGATAAGCGAGATTCTGATAAATCCTACGTTTCTTTTGTGTGTTTATTGTGGCACCTAATGCATTTTGTTGATGCCGAACACTTACGGATGTCCTGCTGCACTTTTCAGCACGGTCGGAAAATCCTGCCAGTTGGCAGTCAAGCCTCCTGAGAACACACGAGCCAAACAGGGTAGCACGGCGTGCAGACTGGATTTTACAATTACTCCTCAAAGTTAGCTAGAAGTCTTTCCCTCTTCTTTCAGCAAATTATGCTACATACCCAAATTGGTGGATGGCCATTGCCTGATTCGAGCTTCACCAGCTGCCTAGTTGCCGGGGCCACCTCATGAAAGCGTCGCTTGCCTGCGAATGCGCTGGGAATCACACTGAGAGTGAGCCGTGTGTTCGAAGGAAGAGAAAAAAGAAAAAGTGCTCGAGGTTATGATGTGCACATGATGTGACCGCACCATCCCTCCCTTGTTAGTGTCGAGCGCATTCGTGAGGACGTGAGAAAGCAGTTACGGCACGCGACAATTCTCTGCTCATACTCAGCGGATTCTAACATTTTTTCTGGCGGTCGATTCGTGAGGCAATAAACACCTTTGATGCAGCCATTCGATGGTTACTTGGAAAAGCGGAAAAGTGTTGTAGGGCCTCTTTGAGCTGGTGCCAACCTTTTGGGGTGCTACAGAATGCATGTCGCATTTTGAGTTGCGGTAACGGCCGGCATAAGCTGGCTCTGATCTAACGCTCGTGGTGCTGATCATCAAGCTTTCAACACGTGTGTTGCAGGGTGCAAATGTTTTGTCAGATTTTAGTAACCCTATATGTCCACCTGAAGGACTGTTTTGAACGAGGATCATTCAAGTACTTTACAAGCGTAAAGCATGTGCGCTTGACATCAAAAGTTTATGCGCCACGGGGCCTTACGTAAAGATGTGCAGGCATGGTATTCATGCCCATCACTGCACATGAAAACTGTGAAGCATCATAGAAAATTTATGAAGAGTAGTTATAAACTGGTCAGAAACAACATTTTATCAGATCCCGTGGCTCGAGTACTCTTAAAGCCAACCATACTTTGATGTGAATTTATAACCAGAACATGCGACATTCTGACCAGTTCTCGGAAGTACCAGAATTTCTCGAGTGCAGGTATTGAGGATGCCCTTCAGAGATGGTGGGCTATCCAATTACAGGATGACTGAATCTTACACGTAATTAACTTACTTGTTTTGTTAGGCAGCTGAAAAACAGCCACTCCTAGCATTAAGCTCATTGGTTAAACTTTCAATCCCTTCAGTTGTATTTCCAACATAATTATCTGATCACTGAGGTCAGGACTGCTTAGGAAAGCTTAAGCTTCAGCTAAATTTGCGTGCATAATTTCTTTACAGCAGTTGCACATCATCGATGAATGATGAAGTGTAAACTGCAGCTTCAAAGATTGCTGCATTTTAGCAGGGCCTGAAAAAATGACTTTGAATCTGCGGGAATGTTATGACTAGCTTCATTTAATGCTCATGATTTCTTGCTAATCATCCTAGCAATCGCTAAACAGATGTGCATCATGTTCATTTGGCCATTTGCTTGCCACTTGTAACAAAAAATTTTCTCATCTTATTCATACATCACTCGAACAAAAATGTCACAATTTTTAAGGTTGCTCAAAATGTATTGTGAATGAGCCAACTAGGACAAAGTAATTTGTAATTTGTCCACTGTTTTCCTGCTTCCTTGAGCTATGACTAGCCTAGTTTAGGTTACGTTAATAAATTGGAAGTCTTCAGCCTCAACTTGCAAAGCAAGCACTAGATATCGTCATTTTTGCATATAGTTTTGCTCATAACTAGGTGGCTATTCTTGACAGTAGTAATAGTCTCGCTTTGTAATTACAACTTTCATTTAGGCTGTGTGGTCATTGTTAGTGTTCTGCATGTAACCACGTTGACCAGCTTATCCTTTGTGGATTCTTGTCGTGACTTTCTAGAGCACGCCGACTGAGGCTGCTGTAGCATGGCTTATTAAAAGCAGCGTACTTTACCATACAGTAATCGTATTGATCATTAAAGGACTAATGCTAATTACACTAAGCCCATAAAAGTTTACTCTAGTTTGTCATTGGTGCTCCTATTCCTGATAATCTGACAGGCATTACAGAAGCGTGTTGTCTATTTTCCGTCTTGATTCGCAAGGCGTATTTCCAATGCTGCTCTATTTTTTTTTTTTTTTTGTCTTGACAAGTTTTTTTTTTTTTTACTTTTATTGTGGACACTGCATGCCTTTTTTGCATGTTCTGTGTTTTAGAAATTTGTTTGTCACTCTTCAGCTTGTCATCACCTTCTACTGCCATTTCTGTCAAAGCTCCAGCCTACCCTTTTTGTGAGCTGCTGTTTGTGCTGGCACATTCCACTATATATTTGAGTGACTGGGTCTCCTGCCAGTTGCGGACATGTTGCAACACTTCCGCAGCATGTTTGTCGTTACCAAATTATTTATTGTTAATGCAGAGTATACTAAGATAATCGAAGCTCTGCTTATCTGCATAATACCTATTATTTCTGTTCACTGTCGCAAAATTTTCCAGGCTTAGTTGCTTGAAGCCTTAGTTGCTTGAGGCTTAGTTGCTTAAATGCAAGTCACTGTGACTATGTCATGTGGGAACTGTATAGAACACATTCTTGTTATGCATTTGCAGTGTTGCTTTGACCCAGCATCCATTTTATGGGTGTGTGACAGTGGTGTTACCATGACATGCGTGCCCTTCCAGGAATTCAACTTAAATCACCAAAATCCATTCCAGTATAGATTGCCGTTCAGTCACCCAATATTGTTTTTAAATAAAAAATGCCCTCAAGTTTCGCCGTGCACATGATCACATGATCAACATGGTTGTTTCTTCATGTCTGCACAAGCTAGGTTTAGTAAGTTGCTCGACTGATTGTCAAACTAATCTTAGCTGCAGTGGCTCGTGAATGTTAGTCGTACTATCGCTCCATGTTCCTATCCCAGATTGGTGTGATGGCTTCCACATGAACAGCGAGCGCAATGGCGCACATCAGTATAATAACAACAAAAAAAGCAAGGTTACAGAAACTTTCTTAATCGCCAAACATTAAGGTATTCGAACTTGTGGTGCTGTTGCTGGCTCAACAGCGACGCAGGTAAGGCAATGGAGGAAAGATGTTAATGCTGTCAGCATACAAAGGCATCAAGCAAGTAATTCAACATTAGTGCCCACATTTTTTATTCTTAATTCTATATTAAAGCGATCTTCGGCATATGTTGGAGATGGCTTGCACATTGTTTTTCTCAGCTCATAAGCATGTGCACCAGAGTCGCATGACCGCTATGAACAGCATTAGGATCACAACAGGATTCTTGCTAGAGCCTTAGAAATCTCTGATACAAAAGATCAATGCTTTAGAGGTGTCGTACCACTGCATTATTACTTTATGACCATTCTGGCCATGACCTGGAAATTTTTGCGACAGAAAGTACTGTCGGCCACAGAAGTTTGTGGGATCTGCAGCGCGTGGCGGCAGACTGTATCGCTGTGCCACCTACCGTCACACTGCGTGGGGATGAGGCTCTCAGCTATGGCCTTCGTGGCCATCTAGTGGCTAATAGTCTCGACATTTCACTGTGTGATGATAGGTGGTGCAGCAATGCAGTTTCCCGTGGCTTTGCTATGCACTGCAGATCCCGCAAACTTTTTCGGCCAACAGCACGTCTCAGCGTTGTTGAATAAAGCGTTATTACTTGCACGTAAGACAAGCAACGTGCTATTACCGTCGCATGTTGTACGCTTCACTGATGTTCCTTTTACATGTTTTTATGCATAGACCTCCATACGTAATCCATAAAATGTCGCTTTCACCTCTAATTGAAATATTTACCCTCATATTTTATGTCGCAAAATAATATTTTGATTCTTTAGATCAGACATCTGTTGTTTGATTCTGAATCTAGGGTGAATAGCATAGGGGGCGTGCTCTTTTACATGTTTCGCATCTTTTCTCGCAATCGAATTAGTGAGATCATGACACAAATAAATCATTTTTTTTAGCGCCTTGCAGTCAAAGACTGCCAACAAGTGCTACAGAACAAAGTCGTACAAGTGTGTGTATAACTAGGTTAATGTTTTTACATGGTTTGTATATTGCAAGCAGACAAAAAGTTTCTAGTTTAACAGTAACAGTGTGTTAATGGACAAGAGCAAAGAGCTCGTTACACCGCAGTGACTCATACGCCAACATTCATGTGTACGTCTAGTTATTCAATCGTGTATCTTTAGGTTCTGCCTTTGTGTGTGAGTAGCGAACAGATGTGTCGGTCGGTGCTACTGCTTGGCTACCTAAGGAACGGTTGGGCAGAACATAGCTTTGCATGTGTAGGTGTCAATGTACAATGTGATTGTTGGTTGTTGGAAGTCTTTGCTGCTGATGTGTCAGGAACTGTCACTGTTTATGGTTTGCCAAACAATTTGTCATAACAGTGTCACAAAAAAATGTACTATAGTAATACCTTC